TGTGTTGTCTGCAGTGTGTCCTTGTGTCGAGAACGGAAGTACCGAAGCCTCTTTATAGAGGGCACCCATCCATTTGACAGGGTCCTCACTGTCTAGCAGGCAGTAGTATGCTTTCCTGACGATCTCTACCTCGTATAGGATGCTCAGTCCTTCTCTGTGACTCATGTCCTTTCTGATGATACGTAAAGTTATCTCCTTTCTGCTATTTGCTACTTCCCAAGTGGCTTGTTCCCGAGACCCTGCAGCGAGGAGATCTGATACGCTGATGCCAGAATGACTTCTGGGAATAATCCATCGAGTGGAGGGAGCCATGCATGATCTATTCACCTGCCTGGTAGGCTGGCAATTCTGATGCCCAGCAGCCCAGTGTTCAAACCACAATCATGTTCGCAAGGGAAACTGCACTGGGAAAGAACAAGAGGTTGGCACCAATTGACTGACGCTCAACGCACAGCAGCGAAAAACAAAACAGCTACTGAATGATTGTTTCCAATGGTGACACGAGGTTCTCGCATATGGACGTTGGCGTGGTGTTGGCTGCTAAGTGCTGACTCCAAACAGGGGCACGACGGCGGCAATCGTTCGCTGTCAGGTTCGCAACAGGCGTCTGGGAGGGTTGATTGACCTCGATCCCAAGCACCGACATCAAGACTCTGCCCATGCCACGTAATAATTGTTGCCTCGATGAATGCGACAGAATGGCTCAAATAACATGAACCTTGCCCGAAGCCCAGGACAGAGACAGCGACGGTGTCTTGGCGGGCGACCCACTAAGCTCCAAGCCAGAGCCATGATCCCCCACTGTGCTCTTATCGATAAGCCTTATCGCCCGAAATTTTTCCCAGCAAGACCAACGCCTTGTCGCAACTTTTTGCGTCTGGCGATGTTTCGAAAGCAGTGACCCGGACGACGCCAACCGCAACGATGGAGCAGCAATTACACAAGCCCCATCGCAAGTCGGGCAAGGAGAAGAAAGACAAGAAGGAAAAGAAGCAATCATCGGGCGGTACGTCGAACACCAATGCAGACGCATGCGACTAGGACTGGAGCAATACTAACATGCATGGGACAGAACAAAACCCGAAAGCCTTCGCCTTCGCAAAACCTGGCAAGCTCGCAAAGTCTGCTGCTCGGTCCCAAGATGTGAGTTGAAGATTCTCCTTGCTGACAAGCTTCCACTGACATTGCTCCAGATCAAAGAGAGACGACTCCATGTTCCCCTCGTCGATCGCCTGCCCGAGGAGGCTCCTCCCCGCCTCGTCGCCATTGTCGGCCCTCCTGGCGTCGGAAAAACGACACTCCTCAAGTCTCTGATCCGTCGCTACGCCAAGGAATCCATCACCGACCCGCAAGGCCCGATCACCGTCATTACGTCCAAGAAGCAGCGCCTCACCTTCCTCGAATGCCCCAACGAACTCGAGGCCATGGTGGACGTGGCCAAGGTCGCAGACATTGTGCTCCTCATGATCGACGGCAACTATGGTTTCGAGATGGAGACCATGGAGTTCCTCAATGTGCTGAGCGCAACGGGCATGCCCGGTAACGTCTTTGGAATCCTCACACATCTGGATCTGTTTCGGAAACCGCAGACCCTCAAGGATGCCAAGAAGAGGCTCAAGCGCAGGTTATGGACGGAGCTATACCAGGGCGCGCATCTCTTCTACCTCTCTGGTGTGATGAACGGACGATACCCCGACCGTGAAATCCACAACCTGTCGAGGTTCCTGTCGGTCATGAAGAACCCCCGGCCCCTGGTGTGGAGGAACTCGCATCCTTACTCGATCATCGACAGCTACCGCGACATCACCCATCCAACCAAAATCGAAGAGAACCCGAATTGCGACCGATCGATAGTCCTGTCAGGCTATCTCCGAGGCACCAATTTCTCGTCACAAGGGCAGAGGATACACATTCCCGGGTTAGGCGACTACACCGTGGCGAATATGGAGGCGTTGCCTGACCCATGCCCAACACCTGCTATGGAACAGGCGCTAGCCAAGATCACCGGCAAGACAGGTCGCCGCAGGCTAGACGAGAAGGAGAAGAGGCTTTACGCCCCCATGTCCGACAGAAGTGGTCTCAAGATTGATGGTGACGCCATCTGGATCACCCGAGAAAAGGGCTTCAACTTTGATAAAGATACCGAAGATGCTGAACGTGGCGAGGGAGAGGAGATGATTGTCGGTCTGCAAGCCGAACGTCGTCTACTCGGCCAGACAGAGAACGGTGTCCAACTCTTCGAGGGTGGTGAGCAGATCAAAGAGGTGGCTGAGGATGAGGATACGGGCCGCAAATCGCAGCGCAAGGCACGGATAGCTGAGCGCGACGAAGATGAGGATGACGACCCGGAGGATGAAGGCTTTGCCAGTGGCGACGAGGACCAAGAATTCGATTCGGAAGAGGAGTTCCAAGAAAGCAAGATGGGCAAGATGTTCCGCAAGAGCAACGACAAGGACGCCACTGAGGGAGATGTGGCCTTTGCCGACAGCGACTCTGACTTGGGCTCGATCTCTGGTGCCGAGGATGAGGATGAGGATGATGATGACGAGGAGCAGGAGGAGGACTACGATTCCGACGAGGAGGCTGCCGCTATGCGATGGAAGGACAATCTCCAGTCCAAGGCTATGAAGATGTACGGCAGGAAACGGACTTACCACACAGGCGACCTGGCGCGCTTCATCTACGACGAGTCATTATCACCCGCTGATGCGCTGAAGCGCTGGCGAGACACTGACGAGGATGAGGAAGAGGAAGACATTGAGGCCGACGAGGATGACGATGACTTTTTCAAAAAGACCAAGCAAGAGGACGAGGACAAGACCGAGGACCGATTAATACCCGACTACGACTACGAGGATCTAGCAGCCAAGTGGGCTGACGAGGCCAACGTGGATGCACTTCGTCGGCGCTTCACCACCGCGGTCCGTGGTGAAGGTGACGAGGACGGCGAAGGATTCGATGAAGACGATGAATTCGACGGCATCGATGACGGAGACGACGAGGGTGATGGCGTCTTTGAGGATCTCGAGGCGACAGAAGACCAAGGCGCTGCCAAGCCTGAGGACGCTCCCCAGCAACAGACGGCCGACGAGATCGCGGCCGAGCGCGACGCCAATGCCAAGCGCAAGGCTGAGCTCAAGCAGCGCTTCGAAGAGGAAGATCGGGAAGGTTTCCTGAACGACAAGGCCAACGCGCGTCGCGAGGGCGGCGATATTCAGGAGTTTGGCGAGGACGAGTGGTACGATGCCCAAAAGGCCATGATCCAGAAGCAGCTCGACATCAACAAGGAGGAATTCGCCGAGCTCGACGAGCGACAACGCGCCGCCGTCGAGGGCTACCGCGCGGGCAAGTACGCCAAGATCGTCCTCGAGGGCGTCCCCGCCGAGTTTGTCGAACGCTTCAACTCGCGCACGCCCATTGTCGTCGGCGGCCTCTCCCCCACCGAGGACCGCTTCGGCTTCGTCCAGGTCCGCATCAAGCGGCACCGTTGGCACAGGCGCATCCTCAAGACCAACGACCCCCTCATCTTCTCCCTCGGCTGGCGTCGCTTCCAGTCCATGCCCATCTACTCCCTGACCGACTCGCGGACGCGGTCCCGCATGCTCAAGTACACACCCGAGCACATGCACTGCTTCGGCACCTTTTACGGGCCCCTGATCGCCCCCAACACGGGCTTCGCGTGCTTCAACTCCTTCTCCAAGGACATACCGGGCTTCCGCATCGCGGCCACGGGCACCGTCCTGTCCGTCGACGAGTCGACCGAGATTGTCAAGAAGCTCAAGCTCACCGGTCAGCCGACCAAGATCTTCAAGAACACCGCCTTCATCAAGGACATGTTCTCCACGTCGCTCGAGATTGCCAAGTTTGAGGGTGCCTCCATCAAGACCGTCTCCGGCGTGCGCGGACAGATCAAGCGCGCCCTGAGCAAGCCAGAGGGTCAGTTCCGCGCGACGTTTGAGGACAAGATCCTCTACTCAGACCTCGTCTTCCTGCGCGCGTGGTACCCCGTCAAACCGCACCGCTTCTACAACCCCGTCACCAACCTGGTGGGATGGCAGCCCATGCGCCTGACGGGTCAGGTCCGCCGCGACGAGGGCGTCGCGACGCCGCAGCTCAAGAACAGCCAGTACCGCCCCGTGGAGCGCGAGACGCGCCACTTCAACCCGCTGCGCGTGCCGCGGGCGCTGGCCGCCGAGCTGCCGTACAAGAGCCAGGTTGTTCAGACCAAGAAGCAGCGCAAGCCGACGTACATGCAGAAGCGCGCTGTCGTCAACAAAGATCCCGACGAAAAGAAGGCGAGGGCGTTCATGCAAGAGCTCCTCACCATCCGCAACGAGGCGGCCGCCAAGAGAAGGGCCAAGAAGGAGGAGAACCGAAACGCCTTCAAGAAGAAGATGGCGGAGAACTTGGAGAAGAAGGAGGCACGTGAGAAGAGAGAGTCCAAGGAGTTCTGGAGCAAGAATGGCCGGAAACGCATGGCCGCCGAGAACGGTGGCGGCGGCGGCAAGAGGAGAAAGTAGACTAAGTACTAGTAGCATCCAAGGTCGACATGTATATACATATGCTTCCCACTACGCAATGACGGTGATTCTCGTGGGTGCGGACATTGGTCGTTCATTGTTCATGCAATCTCAACTATAGCTACCAATGTCAAGTCATGTGAATTCTGAGACGCCTTGGAAAGAAAACACCATAGAACCCTGTCTCCGTCCTCTAAGCAGCCAAGACGCCATCAGGCGTCGGGCCCGTACCAATCAAAAGGAAAATGCGCTCATCACCATATCAGCCCATAGCCTTGCCTTTGCTTCCAACTGAAGCCCCGTGTACAGCCCTCCAAATTTTCCACCTTCCACTCCCAGGTCCATCCGTCATCATCGACATCGACAAACTTATGACAGGTGGCCGGGTTCCTCGCCTCGCATGATCAAACGATTAAATGGTTTCCATGAGCAACTGTGACAACAATGGAAACCCTCGTCTTGTCGTCGCTTGATGAACTGGACACGCGCCAGTTCAGCTTGCTCTCTCAGGCCATCTCAACTGGCCTGCTGCCCACAGCAGCATCCTGCAAGCCCGTCTAGGAGATTAGGGGCTCGTCCTTGTTGGGGAGGACGGGCTCCGAGGGAACACTAGGGGCGGGGACATCGGCAGCCGTCTTGGGCTCTTCGGTGGGCGCGTCAGGGAGACCAGGCTCGGCGGTAGGAGTCTTGGGGAAGGCAATAGGGTTGGCGGGTCCCTTCTCAGCATAGGTAGCGCTTGTCTGGGAAGTGTCCTCGCTAGTCTCAGCAGTAGCGGCGCCCTTGCCGCGCAGCATCTCCTGGACCTTGCCAGTGTAGTCACCAGCATATTGCTTGCCGATGGCGCTCACCTGCTCGGCCTGCTTCTGGGCGACATTGCGAACCTGAGAAGTCTGCGCCTCCACGACGTCAGAGGCGTTCTTGAGGTGGTGGTCGATCAACTCCTTGTTGGTGACATAGATCAGGGGCAGGGCGAAAGCGAGGACAGTGCCGAGGAGAGCAAGACCCCAGTAGGGCACCAACTTGGTGAGGTGGTATCCGATGAATGAGACAATAGCAGCCTATCTGAGCGTTAGCGTGGGGTTCGAGGCGAGGATGGGCGCAAACTCACAGACAAAGAGGCAAAGACGTTCTCGACAAACAGGATACGCTGCGCCTCGATGACAACAAAGTTGACAAGCTCGTGAACATCACCGACAAGACCGTCAATCGTTTCGCGGGATACTGTGTAGTACCGACGAGGGCGGATCTGAGTCGCAAGACCATTGTTCAGGACGAACTTGCCGACAATCTCAGCTGTGACGGTTGAGAAGAGTGAGATCCATGCCAGCTTCAGAGACCAGCGGGTGATGTCGAGATAACGGGCCGCGAAGATGGCTGAGAGAATGGAAACGAGCGCGATGGCGGATGCGCCTGTCTCGTCAGTATTGGCCCAGCAGTGGTGATTTGAGCACAACTTACGGGGGTTCTTCCAGGACAGAAGCTCGTGGAAGAACGAGTGGTAGTGTGTCAGAGGCTGGCCGGTAGCAGCAGGTTCGTTGGGTGTCTTGCGTGCGGCGGCAAGGTTGTTCAGCTCAGAAGAGGCCTGTGCCGTGTGGTTCTTGACGTTTTGCGCGACAGGTCCTACCCAGTTTCATTAGATTTGTTCGCACATAACGAGCACACGAGCAGTGACGTACCACTGGTGACGGAGTTGTAGGCTGCGGCGGCATCTGCGGGATGGTTGTGAGTAAGGCAGCTTGACAAGAGAGGCTTGTATAGTAGACTATTCGCGCTGTTAGCCATGCGCACGCGACCAGGTTCGTCGAATGTAGACCTACCATACTGGCCTTGGTGGTCTCTAGGACCGAAGGGTTCTGAGTTTCGGCCATCGCGATGACGGAAGATAGCTAGTGCGGGATGTTTTGTTGATTTCTTATCGTGAGCTTGGTATCGGGAACGGGTAGTCGTGAGATCTAGGCGAGAGCAAATTGTGAGTTGTTGATCATTCGTAGGTGGTGGGCTATGAGGGAGAACTATCTGGCGTTGGAGGGACGAGAACCAGAGAGCGCACGAGAAATTCCTCGGGACGCCGGAGGGAGAGAGGCATCACTGCTGGCAGCGAAAGGATGTTGTTTCACTTACTTGTGTGGGAATGGCGCGAGTGCTGTTGCTTCTACTGAGGTTCGAGTTGGTTGAGCAAGAAGGACGGCAGCAGGAGCATGTGGATGGAGAGAGCAGAAGAAGGTAGTGGTGGTGGTGACGAAGATGATGATCGATGATGGAAGCTAGCACTCACCAGTCACCTCCAGGTCCAGTCATCATTCTAGGCTGTGGAATGGAATGCACGCCCGGGCATGCAATTAGGGGATTTTGGTGGGCGTGAAGCAAGGGAAAGTGGGCAGCTGCAGCAGCAACAGCCCGCAGCAGTTGGGCAATGACGCACCATGGAGGGGTGAAACCGCACCACGCCGAAAACTTCGACATCACAACAGGGTTTCACCATCGCGATTTGGCCGTCGCGACTGGAGATGCACGTACATGACATCAACAGCAATTTTCTGCTCTTCTTCTCCTGTGCGAGCTGAGCTCGAAGCATTACTTCACACGTGCCTTTGCGATATTGTCGCGGACAAAAGCCCATCACGTCCGATCAGGATTCCCTCCATCAGCTTCTTAATCAGGGCCTTATCGCCCGCGGGTGCCGTCTCGCTGCCGCCGGAGCATTTGCTGCTACGTACGATAGCTTGTGATTATGCAGGCCCCATCCTTGACGAAATGGCGTTTGTGCTTTTCAGGACACGCTAATAATCGGGTTATCCAGGGATTGTGCATGCCAAGCTGCATCCCTTGGGCAGGAAAAGCTCATGCACGAGGGCCTGTACTTGGCAGGACATCTGTCGTCACCCCGTACCAGCTCAGTGCGACACTTGATAGTGCCCTGCGCAATGTGCTATCCTCCCAAAGCCCCTCGGATTTAGTCTAGAAATGTTCCGGCGAACGAGCTACAGCTTCACAAGTGTTCTGGAGGACTCTTCGCTCCGGTCATCTCGTACAAATGGTGCATAGTCTATCAGCAGTTTTATTGCATGGTGTAGATCCCAAAGTCCCTGCAGGTACACGTAACCCCCCACCGAGATACGCAACAAACACCTTGAGTGCTCGCAATTGATCAGTGTTGTGTAACCAGACACTCGACAGGAAGTAAGCATCAAATCACGCGTCAATATGCAGTGCCGTGGTATCTTCTGAAATTGAGGCTAGGTTGTCATCTTGAGGGCCTTTGCCTAGCTTTTCCCCTATACAGGGTAGTCAGATACGTAGTCGGAGGAACCACCTTTTTGCATGTGATCGAGTGCAGATCGGAACGGCGATGCAGTCGCGCGAGTAAATGCACGGCGCGTCTGGCCATTACCAAGTATAAGCACATATGTATCTGCTTCAACGAAACAAATTTTGTTCAGCATACTTGATTGCTTTGACGCCATGCTCCCTTGAACGCCACTATCGCTATCGGACAAGTTCAAAATGGTATATATCCCAACCCTTCAATTTACACCCACGAAAAGAAGAATCCGCCCCCGTTCCTACTCGTGTCCTCGCGACAAGACAGTCGTTTCCAATGTTGTGTTCAGTCTTGACACGCCTTTTATGTATCGTAGCATCCCCACGTTACAGTTCTTCCTCATCTTCGCCATCCCCAGAACCCGCCGCCGCTTGTCGAAGATCCGCTCGGCGACCCGACGAGTGGCTTCGCTGCTGTCTCCGCCGGAGGCATCATGCCCGTCTGTCCGGTGAGGCGACCGAACATACCCACGGCATTTATAGGGTTGATCCCCGGGGACGGCAGGGCAGGTGTCTCACCAGGAGCGATACCGCATGCTTTGCGCAAGGCCTCCAACTTCTGCTGAGCTTCGTCCGCCTCCTGACGTGCCACTGCTTCGGCTGTCTTTGATTTCGCAAGCTCCGTAAGCAGTGCATCGTGCTCCGCGACTGTTGGCGGCACGGTCAGCTCCGTGGCCGGCGTCGTCGGTGTCGCTGGCCCTGCCGTGGAGGTCATCGAGATGACAGACTCGTGCCGTGCAGGGAGGGAGGAAAGACGCTTCGAAAAGCCCCCAGCCTGAGAAGGAGTGGACTTGCTACGCGCCAGCTTGAATTCCCTGAGCCCACTGCTGGGTCCCTTGACGTTCGACATGTCCGAGACCTGCTCGCGCCTGGGCTCCACGGTAACGCTGGTCGTGCGCAGCTTCTGCACTTGGTGCTCTAGACGGTGCTTGTCTTGGTGAAGTAGGCGAACGTGGGCATGACTCTCGCGAAGCTGATCCTTCAACGATGCGACCTCTGTGCTTAGATCATGGATCTGGCGATTGAGGCCCTGTGCTTGCGACGCCGAGACGGCCAGCTGGTCCTTGGCGCTCACCAGCTCCTCATGTAGCTGTGTCTTGGACTGCAGAACTGACTCGCGGTCCTCACATTCCTGGTCGGGGAACCTGGCCTGAACCTGCTCAATCAACGCAGGGAGATCTGTCGTCGTTTCCTCCACGTCGTGTTGTTGTTCTACCTCGCCGTCCTGGTTCGCCGGCAGTTTCTCCTCCACTGCTGATTTCGAAGTTGCCTGTTGCTTGAGGGCGTCGAGCAGTGGCTGGACTGCTTGCTGGTCCTCCTGCCTCTCGTCCTTCTCACGCTGCAGCTGGTTCGTCAGCACGGTGTGGCTCCGCTGGAGCTCGCCCATCGCCGTCAAAAGATCCTCAATCTGGTTGTGCAATAACCGCTCATCGAGGGTCTTCGTACTCGTTGCTGTCTTATTGCCCACGGGCGTTGACTCCCGACCCGATGCTTCGTCGTCCAGCCGAGAAGAGTCACGGGACATGATGGAGGCTTCGGTCGAGGCTGAGCTTGTCACACTTGAGGAGCTGGCTTCCATCGAGTTCAGAGTCGATGCAAGGCTCTGCTTCGATGCGCTGCGTCGCAACATGCTCAGGGGTCGGGGTGAGGCACCAGCGCCCGGGCTCAGGGTAGTATTCGATTTGGGCGCAATCGTCGACGAAGCCCATATTCGGCCCAGAAATCTCGAGGCAGCATTTGTCGTGTCCGATGTGCGACTGGCGCTGGCGGCCACGACCAACGATCGACGATAGCCCTGCTCCAACTGGCCCAGATTTTCTCTTGACACTTCGCTTGTCAAGCTGACAAAGTCGTCGACGAACTCCTCCGCGTCGTAGTGGTAGCAATCCCACAGGCCTCGCGATAGCAACAATTGCATCGCATCTTCCAGCTCGACACATGCTAGGAGCCGCTGTTCGTTCTTGCGCATCAACGAGAGCGCCACTCGCATAAGTGTCTCCGGGGCACCCTCGGCGAAGATGACATCGTAGATCCGGAACAGCATCGGTAGAGGGCAGGTTACGGCGAAGAAACTGAGGAACCACTGTGATACGTAGGCAGGATCTACCTGAAGATCCTCAAAGTGCTTGGAGAGTTCCGGTAGATTGCTTTTCAAGAGTTCCCGGAATTGATAAATGCGAACATGGAGGCCCGAGAGATCTGGGAGGAAGCACGTCCGGAGATCGTACCGCTCCATCAGCCTGCCAGAACGGTTAGCCAACAAACCACCCTCGTGTAGACAATTCTTCTTACCGAACCAACACGCAAAATGCTTGCTTGTCAGGCATATGCATCAATAGGGGCCCGACCAGAAACGCGAGGCCCTGGCAGTAGCCAATCTTCGTATCGTACAGGCTAAAGGTCTTGAGCACACGACCTAGCATGCGCTGGCCATCACCATCTGGGTCCCTGAACATATCAACTCCAGGAAAGCTTCGACCGAGATCCTTGCCAATCAGGGGCTCGTAAGGACTCGACTCCCCGCTGAGTTTCTCATATTGCTCTTCCAGGCCCGCATCGCGAGCCCCAGACATGCTCTGCCATACCACGCCTCGTAACGGGGGTGGAATGCCCTTGTGTATTTTATTTGAAAGCAGTGTTGGCAGGCGACCAGCAGTCTGCTGGTAGTCCTTGACCAGAGCTGCCCAAAATTCGAGGTCGGTCATGGGCGGCGGTGGAAGCATCGAATATCGCAGAGCAGATGGTGTCGGTCCATCTACCATTTGTCGAAGCTGGGCCATGGACGGCGGACGAGGTCTCCTCGCACTCGAGTCGCGCGCAACTTGGACTTTGACGGTCTTTGGGTTCGTAGCCAGCTTCGCGTTCTCTTGCTCTAGTTGCTGCAGTAGGAGTGTGGTGGACTGCAATGGCACGTCAGTATAAGGAAATGTCTCACAAAGAGTCGAAGGGAGTTGTATGGGCAACCCACATTATCCGTCTCTTCGTCCTTGGTCTGCGCATCCTCCGTCTTTTCAAGCTCTGCCCAATTGACAGAGTCAGCGTCCGAAGACCTGCGAGAATCACCATCCTCCTCCCCGCTGTCTAACTCTTCTTTCAATGTGCGGCTGGAATCGGGTGTTGCCCTGGACTCGGCTGACGAGCGCTTCTGAGAAGTTTCCCCTTCAGTACTCTCTTTTTCAGCAACTGACGGTCGATCCGTCGACACGCTATCATTTCTTTGCTTCTCATTATTGTCGTCGTCTGAGGTAGCGCTGATGTCCAACGTTAGAGCTGGCGGCTCAGACAATCGCACGGTGACCATGGAGTCGTGTGCCAATTTAGGCGTTTCTGCATCTGCCGCGTCTAGCTTTTCGACTGTCGTGGGAGTCGCTCCTGGTACTTCGGCTAGGTCATCTGCAGCCGTGTGCGACTCTGGCTCAGGAGATATAGTAGCATTTTCGCTTGGTTTGTCTTCGGATGCCATGTTCGAGCAAAGAGAGGCGCTGGGCCCGTTGGCAGGAGAGGTCGGCAAGCTCTCCTCCTGGCTAATTAGAGCTGAAAATGTCCTGTTGGTGTCTGCTATCGGTCGTGGGGGCCGTTGTCGAGGTATCGCCGAGCTTCAAATGGCCTTGATGTGACGGAAATGTAGTGTCGCACCTAATCTCGGACCTGACCAAAACACGAGCCGCCGTCAACATAGGGTGACAAGAAAGGCACGAGGGACAGCCACGTTGAAATCACAATCCGTGTTCTACCGAGCGGTGGGACGTGACTCAGGATGCGAAGTGACCACTCGGTAAAAGTGAAACGTTGTCGCAGCCAACTGCTAGTAAGTGTCTAGGGCAGGCAGGGCACAGTCGGGGTGGTGGTCCGCAACGTCAAGGAGGAAGAATTGAGAGGAAGGGGCGTATTTTTGGGTGTTCGAGAGTTGGTTGAACGGAGAGCCGATTTGAGGCGGAAGCAAGGAAGGCTTCAAAGACGAGACCAGGCGCGCTTGATTGAAGAACCAGAACCATCAATGCCTGGGCCAGGGGTAATTATGAACCACGTTCGGTTTGCTCTGACATGGCGGCTACCGGTGCTAACGACGCGATTGGGGACGATGCCAATCTCGCCGGGGGCGCGAACCGCCAGCCTATTCGCTCCCCTGAGTCCCCGAATCCACACATGTCGACTGCCGTTCATAAGCGCCTGGGCGAAGGCGAGAACAAATTGTTATTGTTACCGAGCGGACATTGGTGAACTTGGCCATAAATTGTATCTAGGAAGCAGGCATGAAGCTGGGTAACATTGCAACTATACCACTCTGCTGGTCAGCAACATCAGAGACGCCCATCGTTTGACCGTTGGATTGGCGAACATTATTATTAGGTTTGGCCCAGACCGGCGTTAGCATCACGGCGTAATGTAGGGGTCGACCACTTAAAACACTGCGTCAGACTTATCGATAACCCTTTCGGGGCACCTGCGGTGCACTTGGCAGCCGACGCGGATCCAACCACCCCCCGCCTTCTGTGGCGCTAGCTATCGATACCGGGACACCAGCCACATCCCGGATCAACAAGCCACATCCACGCGAGGAGACACCACGGACCAAAGCATGCAGGTTTTCGATGCATTGATGCAAGTCATCTGATGCTGTGAATTTTCGGTTCGGGAGCATGCTCTTTGGTTACATCTAGACTGCCATGCAGTACGAAGCACACCGCTTCGTCAAAGTGGCTGAATATGTGCTCTGGGACCTAGGCTGTTGAACTCCGTACCTAGGGTAAAGTGGTTACCGAAATCCATCTTTTCGCGAATTCATCGTCCTCTTCAAAGGGATCCAGCACTAATACAGTAGCATTGTCTCTGGTCTACATCTCCCTGCCGTCACTGCTCCAGAAACCCTTCACCGACTTCTGACTTGGGCGAGAAGGGTGCCGCACGAAAAGGACGGATGGGTGGCTGCCCTAGCATAAATGAACAGACTGGGCGCAATCGACCCAGTTACAACGGCACCTTGTCCCCCACGTTCGTCCAGGGCATGCTGATGCTTGTGCGGTCGAGCGCGCACCGCCTTTGGACAAAGTCAGCGGACCAGAGTGCCATTGGACTCTTATTATGAAGCCAGATTGCACTGGTAGATACTATATTGTCGCTCCAGCCCCCACACGAGTGCGTCTTGAAAACTGAATCGTGAATGTGACCAGAGGCGTCTAACTCGGGTGGCCCCCCTCCAACGCCTCACTCGCTGAAAGTGACCCCACGATAAGAGCCCCCGGCGCGAGCTAATCCTCACCTTGCAAGTTGCATGCAGCATGCTCATCAGGCGCATCAGCCTTGAAACATTCTCCAATGGAAAACCTCCCTCCGACTCCAACGCCTGCACGACCGAGACAACCCTGATTGTCGTCCATAGAACAGCTCCAATCTGGCATGCAGAGGCCCACCACATGTGCGACTTGCAACGATCTAAGAGTGTCATGCGTACGGAGCACAGCGAGTTCGACAAGTCTAGACTGGCACCACGGATCAACGTCATGACATGCGATGCGCGCAAAGTGCCCATTTGTTGGTTCGCCCACATCGCGCTCAGGAAGCCAGCCATTTGCCCCAGGGGTGACCGTGGTATCCCTCAAGCGAAGATCATGGTAAGGTAACCTTGCAACGAGATCCTAGGTCCCATGGTGTCATGTTCTACGATACTGTACTCAAGGCCGATGCTTGATTTTGGACTTAATAACCCCGTGCTACGTGCAAGTAGTGACGTCCTTTGGAAGCGAGGCCGATTTGGAGACTTTCGCAAGTTGTTGGAGGACGCGACCGACCATTAGTGGATGTCACGATCCCCAGATCATTTCCCACACTCCACTGTCTGTGTTTCCAAGGACACAGCAACCCGCGACTGGCCTCTCTTTCTCTCTCTCCACCATCACTCCTTTCTGTAAATTTTTGTTCGACCTCATGGCGTCTTGATACGCGTCTCGACCACCGGCAGGTACGGTAGAGATCTTTGATTTCATCTCTTCGCAGAATGGTGCCCTCTTTTCTGCGTCCGCGTTCTGCCAGACCTCGCGTCGGGTCCCAGGGCCCTGCGATCTCTCCCTCGTTCGAGCAACGAAATCCTCGAGTGCCTGTCGCAGACTTTACGGAAGCCGATGAAGACGAGGACGACGATGACGACGATGAAGAGGACGAGGAAGAGGACGGGCGAGGTCAGGGACTTCGCGCTTTTGGCAGGCCCAGCCGCTTCCCAGATGAAGATCCCCACGAGGACCCGGACGACGAAGGGGACGAAGATGGTCAAAGAGACGCGCTGCCTGTCTTGCCATTATTCTCTGCATCTCACCTAGGTATGAATTGGACATTGGCAATGCAAACGGGGACGCTAACCATGTGCAGACTCTCTGCCCGTGTACAGCATCACCCACGCTATTCGAATCATCGTGATCGCTCGCACTGAAACCTCCTTGACGTGGGACCAGTTGAGGTCCCCGCAAGTATCTCAATTCCTCGTCAAGCCGATGCAGCGTCAAATACGAACTCAGCACTTTACGCGTGCTACGATATATGCCCTCATGGCCAACTGCCTGCAGTTCACCAAGGAGGCTCAGCGATACGCCGCCAATGCGGGCACAAGCCACACGAGAGCCAAAGTCTGCGAGCTCTTGGCTCTGAAAATACTCAAGGAGTACTCGACGAGGGAACTCATCGACGCACTGGCGTATGATTTCCACCCTCTGCAAGGCTTGCCGGGTCTCTCGTCCAACGACCTCGCGATTGGAGCAAGCTCGAAGAAAGGAGGGCTGAACCCATCTCGGACCTCCACTCTGGAAGTCGCAATCAGGGCGTCGGCAAAGCACTTTCTGGCTCATCCCGTGGTCGTCCAGCAGCTTGAGGCTATCTGGAGTGGCGCTGTCACGTTTTACTCGGCTGCGGACAGTCTGCACCGGGCACCGCCCAACAGCCCTTCCCAGACCCTGAACGGCAGGATGGGCAAGCCCAATGCTACAACTCCCTTGATCGGCAAAGTATCTTCCCAAGACAAACACCCACATGTACCACCGGGCAGGCGAACAGTGATGCTCTACGACCCGCGGCAAGCCTCGATGCTGAAGCTTTCTCGCCTGCGCGTGCCTCGTTATAGATCATTCCTGTCCACGCTGTCACTAGCCATCCTTATCGGGCTTTTCCTCGCAGTTCTAATCGAGCGGTCTACAAAGATCACAGGACTGGAGCTCGTGTTCTGGTTCTGGAGCGCCGGCTTTATGCTGGATGAGCTTGTCGGATTCAACGAACAAGGCTTTGCGCTCTTCGTCATGAGTGTATGGAACTTGGTCGACTTGGGCATCCTCGTGCTGCTCATTGTGTATTACTGCATGCGCGCCTACGGCGTCTTCATGGCTGACCCGCATCACTGGAACGATATGGCCTACGACGTGCTAGCTGCTAACGCCATTCTACTCCTGCCACGCATCTTCAGCGCGCTAGATCACTACCAGTACTTCTCGCAGCTCCTGATTGCGTTCCGACTGATGGCTGTCGATCTGGTGGCCGTCCTTGTCCTGGTCCTGATCATGTGCAGTGGCTTCTACGTCTTCTTCGTCCTGTCAGACAACAAGAACGACGGAGGAGAAGTGGCATTCAAGATCTTCCAGCTGCTCATGGGCTTCACGCCTGCTGCATGGGATGTGTAAGTTGAGCGGCGAGCTTTCGAGCCTGGTAACCGGGCTGTTCACTGACATGGATAGGTGGCCTACTTACAACTGGCTTGGACGGGGGCTGCTCGTGCTTTTCCTGTTCATCTGCCATTTTCTGGTCGTGTAGGTCTCTAATACTCCTACAATCGCTAACTAGTGCTTACAACTCGCAGCACCATCCTCATCACGGTCCTCACCAACTCCTTCATGGCCATTGCTTCCAATGCGACCGAGGAGCATCAGTATGTGATCTCCGTCTGCATCGTGTTTAGCCCGAAGCTAATCATTATAGATTTCTGTTTGCTATCAACACTATTTCTATGGTCAAGAACGACGCTTTGTTCTCTTACATCGCACCAAGCAACATCTTTGCATGGCTGCTCATGCCTCTGAGGTACTGTATGCCCCTCAAAGAGTTTGTGTGGCTCAACCGCACCATCATCAAAATTACACACTTTCCAGTGCTCTTCTGCATTTATTTGTATGAGAGGCTCTGGCTTGCATCGAGTGTGTTTGAGCCCACAGATCTCATCGACAACAGCTCTGGTGGACGTGACAGGAACCTTGCATTCATCGATGCTGCTAACAGAAGCGCCATCTTCAGTCCCAACGTCAGAGTGAGGGAAGAGTCGGTGGCGGGATTCCAGAAGGATCGTGCATTGGAGGAAGTTTTCAGACGCATGCCCGAGCCTGCTACGCTGAGAACGCAGCGCAGGAATGAAAGACAGAAGGCGCAGACTGCCATCAGGAACTGGATGGACCAGCACGATGAGGATGGCGGCACGCAATCGAATTGGCCCACAATGGATAGCAGAGCCTTGCCGGACTGGCATCGCAGGTTGAGTGCTGGTCGGGATCGCCCTTCGCAACTGCGGCACATATCTGATGTTCGCTCCACAGCAAGCGACCCTGCTGATCTGATGTCGAACGTCGGAGGGTTGCCAACATTCCCCCGGAGACCACTGAGGAAGGATGTCGTGCTCATGGCGCCCGACTACAAGGAGAATACGGACGCCGATGGGGACGACGAGCTCGTCACGAATGACGAGGACGAAGAAGATAACGTTACGCATGAGGTTAGCAGTCGGAAGGGCGCGATGGGGTCGCAAGCCGATCCAGAGGGGGACTACTTCACGGCACCTGTGACATCCCGACTTGTGAAGCTGGCATCTTCTGCTGGCTCTTCTGAACGTGGTGTGCCGGCGACCCCTCGACAGGCCGCTCCACGCCGCGCGGGCATGCACAGCCGGACAATGTCTACGAACACGATACTCTACAACCCTGGCGAGGTGAAACAAGCCCTGAGGGTTGTCCACAGCTCGTCTTCGGCGGCCTCGCACGGAAGGGCGGACCAGACAGGTAGCGGTCGTCAGAGCGGACGCAGTGGAGGTGATAAGACCCCAGGGAAACGCGCATCGCCTCGGCGACGATCGCCCCAGAGACAAACCGCGGCAGCGGCCACCCAGCCACGACCAGTTACCGCACCGCGCGGGTTGACTGACAATGGCGGCATCACTCGGACGGCTTTGATGAGCATCGATCCCCGCAACCGACCGCGCGACGCACGGAGACTGCCGTCTGTCGACATGAGCATACTGTCTGGCGACACCAGCCTGCGGTATGCCAACGACGACGTCCACGGTGGTATGGCCGGCAGCTTCCAGACCCAAATGGCCATGGCCATGATGAAGGACAACCAGAGGCGCGTGGCCGGCAACATTGATGCCGCAGACCGTGACAGGATGGGACGCCTGGTGCTGGCGAGAATGAAGACCCTGGAGGAGGGCTTTGCGGATATCATCAAGGAGGTGCGCGCAATGAAAGAGTCGGGCCCGTCTACCAGACGTAATTCCGACACGGAATTCAAGGGCCAGCCAGCGAAAAGGGCCAAGGGCGATACGACACCGAACAAGGCGGGCGGTAAGAGGCCCGTCAGCCGGCGAAGCTGGAAAGAGCCCAAGGACATTAAAGGGAAAGGCAAGCGATTGGTGTATTCGTCTGACGATGAGGCTGATGGCGATGAGGGCTTCGCCAGACGAGGGAGCTCAATGTGAGTCGCGGTTTCCAAGGAGGGTGCAGGGCGTTCGGTTGCATGGTTTGCGTAAGTATATATGGGCTTTGGCGTTTCGCAAGACTTTGTGCGCACCAGAGCATATACGACCACCTCGCTTGGTATCTAATTCGAGAAGATGCGCACCACAGATGAGTTCACTTCCTAGATTCGCTATGAGTCAACTTGCGGGGCTGTTAACTAGGACCTTGAAGGTGGTAGGTAACGTGATACCAGTACCTACCTGGAATGATGATACGTGAGTACCTACCTTTCGGCCCGCTAGACATGCACGCAGGCGGGGGATTTGCAGCCTTACGACGCTCCATGTCCGTCGACTAGTAGGTACGTACTCCAGTCATCGTCGGCGTGTGATCTGCCTGGTTTAGGCAACATGGAATTTTTGAAGACTAGAGTCCCAGGGAGATCGACTACGACAATGGCCCAGTCCAGTTTGCCCGCCTTTATTCAGGCAGTTGCACAGCACGGAGCTGTGATTGGTTCGTGAGGACGACAACAGTCAATGCAGTGCCTCACACCATCTTTGGGAAAGAGCCTGCAGAGGAGGTGTTGCCCAGTAGCCGCTGATATTGATCACAGGCAGATCGGTTGCTCTTTCCCTCATTGGGGTGGACGGGCCAGTTCCCCAACACATGGCCATGATGACCGGCTTGGCAGCGGTAGCAGCACAGCACAGCTCAGCATCAGCATGTACAGTCAGGTGTCTATCATCTTTCTGCACGGACAAGTGACATGAGTCCTCGCCCTCATCCACATCTTTACATCACATTCGTGTGACGCTGGCTGACTCATGCCATCGACGCAGCGTGTCTTGTTTGCCTTGTCAATCACAAGGCAGCAAACCGTATGAGCGACGTGGGCCTTTGAAACTTCGCCTCAGCTAGCTGTCAGCATATTGCCTCTTTTCATCCTCACGCGCTCCCCCGCTGCTTCAAATTCTGGGGCATTGCCGCTACACCATGTCGGATCCTGGCCTCACATACAATGGCTGGAAGTCGCCTGAGCGTCCAGCATGGTCGACCGACGCCTTCATGGCAATAGATGAGGAGCAACAGAAACCTGGTGGCGACACCGCCGCGCCGAAACCCATACCCAATGCTAGCACGAGCTACGAAGATGCGCCACCAACCTATGAGTTGACCGAGTCCCAGACTCGAGAGTTCATCCGCACAGGGCAGCTGCCACTCAACACGGCTGCCGTGGACGACGGCTTGCGGGCATCTCTGGAAGACGACGGTCAATTGTCTCTCTGGGAGCGGAAGGACAATGCATTTGCTTCTAGTGGGGGAAACGATGGCTTCAGTCAAGCGCAGTCTCACAATAGCCGCACCGCCCACTCAGCAGCCGATGACACGATCCAGTTTCCTCACATCACTTTGGGCGAGGGCGATGTACTCGTTTTCGTTGACGTCCCGAAGACGAAAGTTGACAGTCGACCCGCGACAACTTGCATCGGTGTTGCCCCTTGCAATCAAAGCTTCAGGGTCCATTCGGAGAAGCTCCTGGCACTGAGGGATAGCAAGTTCCCAGCCATGCTCGACAACGAGATCTATCAAGCCAGAGTTCGACGACGGCGCAAGCTCGATCCCGAGCAGTATCCGGGTATACACTATTTCTTGGACATGACGCCACCCGTCGAAGGTGACGACCTCGTCTTCCAAATGATGAGCCTGTCCCTCCCCCAGGGCATAATGGACTGGTGGTCCGCAGACTTATTCCATGGCGTTGATTCTCAACTAGTACGTGGGCACGACGATCTTTGCTCTTGCTTCAGAGACCGCCATCTGGCCGACCAAAAACAAGCACAAAGGAGGCTTGTCAACACTAAAACCTTGGGCATGACCGAAGACGAGAGGGCTCTCTACTTGGAATCTGTTGGCATGACAGAGGACGATCTACTTCCTGCGAAACCGCCGCTGACATTGCCGCCATCTGTCACGGATCTCGAAAGACTCCGCGCGCGTGGTGCCACAGAAGTGATCAATACACCCTCGTGGTTCCAAATCCCCGACTACTGCCCTTTCCGCCACTGCAACAGCATCATTCGCCTGTTTATGATCATTGAGGACAAACCAGTAGAGTTGAAGTCGGCAGCACGCGTCTGGACCATGGTTGGCATCAGCAAGATCATGGATTGCCCCTCGGTGGTGAGCACCCATGTTGCAGGCTGGGTCCTATCCAACCCCAGGTTCATTGAGGTTCTCCCCGAGGAAGCTTTCGAGATTGGCTTCGCTCTCCAGCTGCCTCAGGTCACTTTGGCCGCTTATCGGATATTAGTCAACGAGTTGGCCCTAGAAGAAGCTGCGGATGACAGTCGCCTGACGGCGCGGTCCCGGTTGACGATCTTTGGCCGCCGGAAGCGCGAGATCAGTGACGACGAGCAGAGCAACCTGATTGAACATGCCGCCAGAGCCTTCATTGAACGTGTAAACAGCAACCTTGCCTGGCTACAGAGCCCTTCTCTCTTTGATCATCTCGACATACCTCAATGGGCCCACCTCCACAAAATGAAAAGGCTTCTTGAGCTCGAAGATGACGGCACTTTCGACGCAGCAAAGAAGGCGCTTTGTAAGCTGATGGACGCTCTTGCGCACAAGGCAAGCCATGCGGTCGAGATCCTTGTCAGATGCGGTGCCTATGGTCGCGAAGCAAATGCTCAGTGGGACGAAGACCGTGCAGCCGTTTTGACGCCCCAGGCCTTTAGGCCAATCCAGGAAATCATGCTGACCCTGAACACAACGCAGAGGCTCCTGCTGCCTTCCTTCTACCACGACTTGGAACGACGGCTGAAAACAATGTACCCCGGGATGGATTCCCTGCATCCAGACTCTCGCCACCAGCACTTCTTGCTCGGTGATGTCGTGCGGGAGCTGAATAAGCTCGTTCAGGCGCAGCCAGATAGACGGCACCGAGAAGAATGGAACTCTGTCTTTGCGCCCGGCTTGAACAATCTACGCCTGGCCGTCCCTTTGCTCGACATGGAACGTTTCGGAGATGAGGTCGAGTATGCCTTGAAACCGATTGTGAGGTCATGGAAGCGCGGGGATTTAGGAGATAAGGATGCCATGCCCCAGCTCAACATTACGAGACATCTCCTCCTGGCCCTCACTCACAATGAGTTGAAGTTTCTGCCGCTGTGGGCTGGCGGGAACAACGATGGTACGGGAGGCGTGTTTGGATCATATGTACCGCCGACGGACATGGGCCCTAATGGCCCAGGCCCGGCCTTTCATACTGGGTGCACCATCCCTTCTGGCCCGCCTAGCCTGTCTGAATCACTCCTAGACGAGATCACTGCCTTCAACATCAAGGGCAGCACAACAGCTGGGTCCGTGGATGTCCACGACAGTATCTCAACAGTCTACCGCCCGGAAAAGGTCATTGTGGCGGACTCGTCCATCGCATCGGAGAGCACCTCGGGCATGGAATCCGAGTACGATCGCGCGCGATTCGAGATCCCCGCGGAGCATCAGAACATGGGGCAGGCTGTCGAACTCATGGTGGACTCGATGGATTGCTCCGACGACACCGCTACGATTGGCGCCGACTCGGACTCGGACCACAGCTTGGATGACTTTGAGGAGGCCAGAATGCATAAATGATAACAGCAATGGATCTACTGCCATCTCCTCGAGTGCGAAGGAGAGCAGGTCTCAGCTCCAACATCCGACGACCAACGGCGGTGGAGTGCCTGATTCCCCGGTCCCATACATCGGGCTGATTTAGAACAGCGTGTGCATATCTTGGAATTCTCTTGGGAAACACGATATGAACTTGGTATGCAAGAACTAAAAAGAGCGAGGGCGATGACGCTTAATAATGATGATCACGACGAGACGACTGTTACGCAGCGTACAAATATACAAACCAACCGAAGCCTGAACGCCATGCATGCATAACCCTGTCTCATTACACATGATCAGCCCATGTTCATCGTATTTCCCGAGCCTTTGGGGTTGTTGTCCTTGAACTCGTCCCAGTCTCTGGCCTTGTACATTTCCCTCTCCATCGCCTCGTAGTCATCCTCATCAATGACCTTCTTCGGCTCCTCCCCGCCCTCGATGATGTTGCCTTGCCGTCTCTCCTCCTCGAGATACTCATCAATCGTCATGGTGGGCAGGTTGTGGCCCGAGCGGAAGACGCCCTTTGTGCGCTCCCCCCTCGCGTTGGCGCCCAGCAGCGTGAACGGCTGCAGCGGTTTCCCAGCTTTCGACAGCAACGGCCCCCCCGTGCCTGGCTTCATGCGCATGGGTCCGTCGAGCCTCGTGTCGTCGTCACGCTCTTCTATCTCCTTCAGCCGCTGCTCTGGCTGGTCGGGCACCGCCTTCAACATGTCAATTTCCCTATTGATCGAGTCCAGCGCGTGGAATGTCTTGTGTAGCCGGTACGCCACGTTGGTCAGGTAGACCTCCCTGATGACCTCCTCATCTCCGTTCTGCAGATAGCGTGGGTTCTTGCGCAGCGCCTCGAGCTTTGTCTTGAGCTGCTTCTCGGCCTTGAAGGCGGCGATCTTTGTGTTGCGCTTGGCAGACATGTCCATGCCCCGCGGCACCACCCCAAACTCATCGTCCTCTTCGCGGTATCTGTCTAGGAGTTTGTTGTAAGGTGGTTCGACGAGGCCGTATGATTCGACGAGGTTGAGGAACAGGTCGTATATCCTCTTCGTCTTCTTCAGGTGCTGCACCCGTTCGCTGGGCTTGTTGTGCCCGGGCGCGCGCTCCATCAGCTCAGCCATGTGATATGCGGTGAGCATATAGGGCAGTTCGGACGTGGCAACATCATCGAGCGTCTCGTTGACGGAGAATACTGAAGCAGCAGCGAGGGTTTCGAGAAGTTGTTGATGCAGGGCGATGGTGGATTCGACATCGGCGGCATAGGCGGCAGAGGTAGCGTCTGCGCGCGACTCGAGATCGGTTCGTTGCTTCTCAGTGGCTTCTAGTAGTGACGATAGCGTCTGGGGGGTATCTAAAGGGTCCATTCTGGCAATCTGGTGGTTTCGTGTCTGAGTAGAGTTACCGAACCTTTGACCCGAAAGCTTAGGGAAGCTTTTGGCAACCATCGTATCGGTAACCAAGTGACTATCTGGTTGTTGCCCCACCCCCACCATTCAACGACTCAAGGAAGGCTACCCTGTACCCGAGTAAGGGCTTCATGTGTGGCAAGATATCACACCTAGCCTCCATTGCTTTGTGTTAAGGTCAAATACCAACGGTAGGTAGACACGGCATGTATCAAGAATGCCTTAAAGAGCTGTATATATCTCGCGTCAAGTGTATAAGCTGTGTAGAAAGTAGAAAGAACGCCCCTGACGCCACGTAACCTTTTCAAGGTTAGTCCTCATCATCATCCATGTCGAACCCGTCATCACTCTCATCATCCTCGTCTAGCCCCATGGTCGAATCCTCGTCGATGATCACTGGCTTCCTCGCTGCTGCAGCCCGGCCTGGTCTCCCACGCGCCGCCGGTCTCGGGGCTGGGGATTCAGGGTCGGCCATGTCTTCATCCTCATCCTCCTCGTCGTCTACTGGTACAGACTTCTTAGCCGCAGACTTCTTCAATGCGTAGGCTTTGGCCGCGGGCGAAAGCGTGGTCTGCTTGGGCGCTGGCTTTGGCTTCGTAGCCGGCTCATTGGCGGCCTTATTCTTCACTCCTGCAGGGCGACCACGGGCCTTCTTCACTACTGGCAGAGCATCCGCCTTGGAAGCCGAGGGCTTCGGTTTGGGTGCAGCCTTTGAAACAACCACAGGCTTCTCGTCGTCATCGTCGGAGAGGAACTCGTCAATGTCCTTGGCCTTGCTTGCGGGCTTGAACGGTGAAGACTTGGCTAGCATCTCGTAGTTGGTGTCGTCCGGGCTGTCCTCATCGAACGCTTTCGATGACTTGGGCTTGGGCTTGGGCTTGGAGCCACTGGGGCCGCCGCTCGACTCGGGCCTGGTCATTGCGTGCAGGCTCAGCCTACCAGTGCCAGCCCCCGAACCACTCGACTCAGGCTCCGATTTGCCGATACCTTTCACCATCGCGCCAACGTCACCAAGCATCATGTCGTCATCCTCGTCGCTATCCGAGTCGAGGTCGATGAAGGTCTTGGCTCTGGAAGCAGCAACGCGCTTGTTGCGTGTCGGTTGCGGCACCGGCTCTTCTTCCTCATATTCGGACAGCGATAAAGCCGGAGTTTCCTTCTTCACCACGGGCTTGGCTGCAGGAGCGGATGATGGCTTGGCCCGGCTCAGCGCCGCAAAGTCGTCGTCAGAGAATCCGTCCAGGGCGGTGCTAGGCTCTGCCTTGGGCTCCTTCTTGACAGCGGTTTTGCCACTGCCAAACATCTCCGCAAACCTCTGAGCGCTCTTCGTGTTGGACGGCGCAACCGCCGCCGCCGCCTTGCTGGTCTTGGCCTTTGACTTGGCCTTGGCTTCAGGCTCATAATCATCTTCATCCTTGGCCTTCTTGCCACGACCAGCGCCAATCTTCTTTGAAACACGACGACCAGTCCTACGAATGTCCTTCGCGATCTGAGCGTCAAGAGTCTCCTGTTTCTCCCACTCTACGGCGAACTCGTCGAGGTCACGGCACCAGAGGTCCTTTTCACTCAACGCCAGCAGCTCGTCATGCTGAGCCTGCTTGTTGCCCATGGCCTCCTTGAGTTTGGCAAGGCGTTCGGCAGTCAGTGACCAGATAGGCATCTAGAGCGTGTCAGTCAAGGCTTGCTGCAGTGCGGGGCGGACGTGGTACTTACCGACAAAAGATAATCATAGTCACGGGCACTTCCCTTCTCGGAGGAGTCATCGTTCTCATCGTCGCCAGACTCGTTCATCTCGTCCTCAGCATCTTTCTTCTTCTGGTTGACGCCGTTCGGGAAGGCCTCGTAATCACGGTCGCGGAGCTCTTGGACCAGAACATCCTTCCTCTTCTTCCCAACGACTAGCTTGCCGTCGATGATCTCTTGGATGAAACGAGCCTGGTTGGTCACTTTGCGGAACTCGCGGTGGTAGACATCCAGCCAGTGCTTCTTTCGCTCGGTGTACATCTGCAAGCGGTGGACGTAGAATGCGTCCAAGATGTCCTCAACCTTCTCATATCTGCGGATGCGGCCTTCGGCATCGAATGCCACCATGTTCGATGTGGCGACTTGCTTCTGCAGCTTGAACTTTTCCAAGAGACCAGCCTCCATTACCTTGTCAATGTGCTTCTCATCTACCTGGATCTCAAAGTGTACGGTCTGATGATCGTTGAACTCCTTGTAATCCTTGATCCAGCTGGGGCCATCATCCCCGCTGATGATCTTTTCGAGCTGTGCCTTGAAGTTGTCGGTCCACACGCGGATGGGCAACTCCGTGATGATGATCTCGTTCGGATTCCTGTCATCTCTGTAGGCAACGCCGTTGAACTTGAAGCGGTCGGGGCCGGCGGGCTCGGGAACACCTTTCCAGCCACGGAACCAGGGCATCATCGATTCGAATGGAGCTTCCTCCGTGTTATCTGGGTCAAGGCGCCCCATGCGTCGTTTGAGGTTGTTGACAATGTCCATGGGGTGGTAGTTGGGGATGTTGGTGCTCCAACCGGTGCCGATACCATCAGCACCGTTGACCAGGACCATGGGTAGAATGGGCGAGTATGTATCCGGCTCGATAGTCACGCCTTCTTCCGTTTGGTAATTCAAGTTGGGCTCGTCCAGTGGGCTGAAGATCTTGCGCGCAAAGGGTGACAGACGGGTGAAGATGTAACGAGGACTGGCCGCGTCAGAACCACCAGCGAGACGGGAACCAAAGGTGCCGCTGGGCTCGAGACAGTTAATGTTGTTGGAACCAACAAAGTTCTGCGCCAGGCCAATGATCGTCTGATGCAAGGATGCTTCACCGTGATGGTACGAGGTTTGCTCGGAAACATAACCAGCCAACTCAACGACCTTGGTGTCCTTGACCAGGTTCCTCTTGAAACAAGCGTAAATGACCTTGCGCTGGCCTGGCTTGAATCCATCCAGCACAGATGGAACTGATCGCACATTGTCAGCCATGCTGAAAAGGATCAGCTCTCGGTTGACAAAGTCCGTATGCTTGATGACCGATGTGGACATGTCGAGGTAAGTGCCCGGCACGAACTCTCCCAGCCAAGCCTTTCGCGCATCTGCCTTTTTCTTGCTGAAGACCAGCTCATAGAGCTCGGGTTCACCTGGCTGTACAGTCTGGAACTGCTTCAGATGCTTGTCAAGGTCCTTGAAATAGATTTGGGCGTCCTCAGGGGTTGATGAACCCAGACCCTTCAAGTACTTGCTTCGCCACTTGGTGAGCTCGTTGCGGTGGGCTTCTTTCCATTCCTCGTACTGTGGTTGAGTGAAGAAGGACTTGAGTCGCAAAGGTTTCTTGGGGTTAGAGCCTTGCCACACCTTGACAATGGGCGTGATGAATCCCTGGAAGAAGCCTGGCACTTGAAGCAAGGAGGGGTACATGACTTGTAGAAAGTTGATGAGAAGCCCCTTGATATGACTACCATCGTGATCCTGATCAGCCATGATCATCAGATGGCCATAGCGCAGACTCCTGTTGTCGGTATACACAGCCTTGTGCTTGAGGCCTAGGAATTGCTTGATGTTTTGGATTTCCGTATTTTTGGAGATTTGGTCCGCAGTAGCATCGCGGACGTTGAGCATCTTACCTCGCAAGGGGAAGACACCGATGCGGTCGGGGTCAAGAATTGCACGCCCAGCGACGGCCAGACCTTTGGCGGAGTCACCCTCAGTCAGGATCAATGTGCATTCATGACCACGGCGAGTGCCAGCCAAGTTAGCCTCGACAAGCTTGGCATTGCTCACTCGTGAGCGCTTGCTGCCGTCACTCTTTGCCATCAATTTGTCGGCCTTCTTTTCGGCGAAGGCCATGATGTTCTGCAAAGCCTCGGATGCGGCGATCTTTTTTAGGAACTTCTCGCTGAGCTCGCACTTGCTACCGAATTGGCTGACCTTGGTAGTGGTCTGCTCCTTGGTCTGTGAGTTGAAAGTGGGGTTGTTGATGAGACAGTTGACGAACACAAAGATGTGATTTCGTAGATGGTTCTGCTTCAACGTGTGCCCCTTTGCCTTCTTGTTCAGCTGCTTGAGTAGAGCATTTGTCATCTGATCAGCGATGTAGTTGACGTGTGTTCCTCCTGAGGTGGTGGCAATGGAGTTGACGAACGAAACTTGTTGGAATGTTCCGTCCGAGACCGTGAAGCCGATCTCCCACCGGGGATGGCCCTTGTCATCATCAATCTCGACCGTCGTCACCGGGGTCACACCTTCCTCCTGGGCTCTCGTGTGGGCAATGGCCTTGGCGTACATGTTGCAGTACGACTTGAAGTCCTTGATCTTGATATGCTCGCCGTTGAGGTACGTTCTAACGCCGCGAACCGTGCCTGCCATATCGTAGACACGTCGCAAGAGTAGACTTTCTAGCGTATCGTCGATACCCTCCGGCATGTTGAGCTTCTCAAAATCGGGTTTGAATGTCACACGCACAAAGTCAGACGTCTTGCTCGACGTGATCTTTGCCTTGGTCACGTGAAGCATGTTATCCGTCCATGTCTGCTTGTATCTCTTGCCATTCTCGTTGTCCTGGCATTCGAGAGTAAACTCCTTGCTGAAAATGTTGCAGAGCTTGGCACCATAACCGTTTCGGCCGCCGACAGTCTTCTTCTCGTTGTCGTCGTAGTTGGCACCTGTAAGGAGGACACCAAAGATCATCTCGGGAATGTACATTTTTTCCTTCTCGTGCATAACGATAGGGATACCCTTGCCGTTGTTCTCGACGCTGATGACACCTTGCTCTCTGTCGATGGTGATCTTCATGTGCGACATGCTCGAGTCACGCTGCTTGTTGTCCGCAGCATTGACCAGAATCTCGTCAAAGATTTTGTAGAAACCGGGCACAAATGTGACCTCCTTGTACTCCATCAATTGAGTCTCTTTGTTGTAGACCCACATCGTCTGGGTGGTTTTTTCGATTGAGCCAACGTATGTGTCAGGACGGTGCATGATGTGCTCACGCTGGGTGAGCTTCTGGTATGTCTCGCTCGCTGTCTTCTTCTTGGTCGGGCCTTTTGATGTTTCCTCGACCGCCATGCTGTCATTCTCAAGCTCGGCCAGGGGGGCGCCTGCAGACTTTTTGACGGCTGGTGCCTTCTTTTGCTTCTTGGGCGGAGTGTTGGAAAAGCCAGAGCCATCGGCCGAATCGTCGTCTTGGTCGTCATTCTCCGGGGCGGGTCGCTTCTTGCTGACCTTGAGGGTACTTTGTGTCATCTTCTTTGCTTTCGGCGCCGGCGCCTTCTTTACAGCCGCAGCCTTGGTCTTCTTCTGTCACGGGGGTGATGTCAGCCGGTTGTCGGAAGAAAAGAGCGTTGAAGATCTGACGAGGTTCTGAGGGTCAGGAAGCTCATGGTGAGCTGATACGCAGGTGATGTTGTTGTTGGGAGATCGGATGCTCTTGAGACGCGAATACTTACAATTACAGGCTCAGGGACGAAGCCATCAGACTCGGCCTCGGAGATGAACGCCGACTCGTCTGAATCCATCTTGGGGTGTGCTACAGGTATCGAACAGAATCTCTCAACGGCGAAACGAGGGTTTATCGACAGCGGATGCACAGGGTACAAAGTTGAACATGGATATGGAGCTGAGATCCAGGAGCCCCTTGGTCGAGTGGCAAGCAGCGCTTTTGCGCAAGATCGCAATAGTAAAGAGTGGCGTAGGGAGTGTGCCACGGTGATGCGAAAACAAGTCAAAGATTGGAAATAGTTGGCGATGCAGGGTGCGGAATCACGAGGATGTCGTCGGCGTTGTTGTGGTTTCCTCGATGCAAAGTACATAAACAAAAACGCGTCTTGAGCCAAAGGTCGCGGTTCAGTGGGGGGAGCGTGTCCTGTGGCGCTAGCAGGGGCGCGGCCCCCGCCGGGAAGATGGGATCCACTCAAGGGCGCGGCGTCAAGTGGCTGCACGTGGCGCAGGATGCCGTATCACGTGCCATAGATCTTGCTTGGGATCACGTGCACTACGGCTGCCCATCTTCATCTTCGAACTCGGTGAATTATGAAATGATATCGTACTTGTACATAATGCAATGGTTACAGTGCACTTAATGCATCATGCTCGGTTACGTTCTTGCCGTCAACCTGCTGGCCACATGTAGGCTGCCTCGTACGACCAAACTTCTGAGCTAGACTCTCGAGTCTTCGCATGTTCTTGCAGTCAAGGAAGCTTGCACCGCCAAGATCAACCGACTCCAGTCTCTCCCGACGGCAATGCCGTCCTGGCACCCTGCTTTATCGGGTAGCTTTAAATGAGAGGTCCTCCCGTATCAAACGGCAATTTGTGGGAACTACTAATTACGCAGTGGCTTTCCCGCCAACTCGCCCCAAGGGCAGAACTCGGGCGAATGCCATCTGATACAGGCATTGGGACTGTGTACCAGGCTTTCTTGAGCCTCCCCCAGACAAGACGCCTGCATGATTTGGCACGCCATGTCCTCGCCAAAGATTTTGTCCTCGAGGATTATGCAACCTTCCGTGTCGCTGCTCCCGGCCACGGGTCAAGCAGTGATTGTCTACAGCGCGCACCTCGTCCTACCGAACCACCACGCGACGCCTTTGAACTTCAAAGCAGGCAGCCAGAGTTTGCCCTACACTGTGCTCACTGCTTGGCAATTCTTGTGAGGATCACAGTTTGAAACACTGCCGTGCAACAGCCCACTCTACCCCCCCTATCCTAAACGCTACATCGACTAGCTGGAAACCCCAGACCCTAGCACTCTTCTGACGGGCCAGTCTGTTCAAAGCATAGCATGATTGACGCGCTTGAATCGTCTAGTAGCGGGCAAGTGGGCAAAGACAAAGCATGGTTGTCTGGTCAGCCCATAGCGACATGCATGGACCTTCAAGAGGCACCATCGGCGACCCTGGCTTGATGCTGAGCTAATATTGCTAGTCGACTGGAAATACTCCATCCATCACCTCTCTATGAGGTTGCCATCATGGCTCTTGTGAGTCTGAATGGGGCTGGGCCTCGATCATGGATGCCATGCATCCCTGGGCGTGTTTGGTATGACAGCAGGCTTGTATGCTGTGCCCCTTCGGGCACAATTCGTGCGTCTGTGGCACCATGACCGGGCAGCGGCTACATGTACGCAACTCAGATCCCCAAGGGTCTTATGCCAGATGCTTGCTATCGCTGGACTCTGCGGAAACCCAAATGAACATCTTGAAGGGTCATCACTTGTGTGCATCGAGGACTGGCGTGCCTCGATGGGGTCGCGATCTTGAATGTGAAATGGGCGCATGACGGGTCGACGTTGCCGTCATTTCGGCTACCTTCTCATGGGCCATGGGTCTCCAAGCCGGGCTCGACGAAGGAGGCAAGTCTACACATGGCTGGCTCCAGTCCCCACCCTCATTCACCGTTACGCAGAGGTATATACTTGGGGAGGGTTTCGATGTTGTTGTCCGCCAACTGCAGTCCGTCTTGAAACCAGCTAGACCGGCTGTCCACCAGGTCGATGCCGCATCTGGACACCTTTCGTGGCCATACCCGTTGCGTGAACGGTTCTTAATGATTTTGGGCGCTCGCCAGTGCCCGTTTGGGAAGGTATCGAGTGATTCATTGTCGATCAAAGGGCTTGGATCTGTGCAGTATGCTGTGGCAGCACGTAGTCTTGGGCGTCAAGTCTGGGGAACATGGCCCGCGTGCTACCCGTCTGCGCAGGGAGGTGAGATGAGCCGTTGGAGGCAAGCTGGTGCCCAGCCAACCCAGCAAGCTTGTATGAAGCATAGTCAAGTGACCTTTGCTCTTCCTGAACGAGCCGTGCCTGTGTCGACACTCGCGTCACGGTGCAGTCTGCGCATGTTTTCCCGTGCACTCTCGACCTTGCACAGACGGTCAAGTCAGTTCACCTTCCAGAGACCGGCCGACTGGATGACCGCAACTTTCCATCACATTGTCTTGGACCGTCTGTCACTTTGTGGCTTCCAGCTAACGACCTTGTCAAAACGCAGGTGGAGACGGACAAACAGTCACTCTGGGATTTCACAGGCTCGCAGGAAGCACACCTTGACGGTGTGTCGGAAACAGAGAAATACTTGGCTAGAGTCACATCTGTGGCCGTCACTTGAGCGCAGAAAGGTGCTGTTGATCCTGGCCCATCGCGAGAGAACTGACGCGCCAATGCGCTCCTGCGTTTGTCAAGCTGATATTTGACCCAGAGCTGGAGCGGTCGGTCCATGGCGATTCAGCATCTTCATTTTCTTACTTCAAGTCCCTGTCCCGTCGATGGTCATTGAGTAACTGCCAACTCTGTTGGACTGTTGTCCTTTCAAGTCGACCATGGGAGAACGCATAGCGATCCAGTCGATACTCAACACCACCTCGCCACGTTTGTCACCTTACCCTTTCCCCTGAGATGGTACATTCTACTGACAATTTCTAGCATCAGACTTCTCTTCCCCCCCCTCTGATGTGCCTGATGCGTTTCCGCACTTCGTTGACTCGGTGCCGGCACCGTCCAAGGCCAAGAAGACCAGAGACTCGAGCGACTTGTCGTACTCGCGAGCTACGGGCTACTACAAGTTCGCCCCTTTCGAGGATCTGGACGAGAAGGCTATGCGAATGATCCGGCCGTACAAGATATACCCGTTTGGCGAGATTGGCGCCTACATCGCACACATTCCGTATAGCAGTGACAAGAAAGATGTCATGGCCAAGACTGGCAGGGAGAAGTTTGAGAGTCAGGCGTCTCGCCCTCTGGAAGCCTCGACCATACATGCTAACACGCAGCAGTCTTTGTGTATAAATTCACCGACCCGGCGGACGAAAAGCCTTATGAGATCATGTGGGATGTTAAAGGCCCTGGCTACGTGCGCATCAGCCCCTTTTTCAAGTGTCTCAAACACAAGAAGACCGGCCCGGCCAAGATGCACGAGGCCAACGCGGGCCTGCGTGAAGTGTCATTCCACATGACGGGGGGCAATCGCATCGCCCAAGGCAAGTATACCACTCCGCTGTGCACTGCTCCGAGGCTGACCTGATCGTGTCGTATCTAGGCTACTGGCTGCCCTACCGCTGTGCGAGAGCCGTCTGCGTCAAGTTCTGCTACCCGATTGCAGGAGCGTTGATCCCCATCTTTGGGCCGACCTTTCCGGACGACTGTGTGAAGCCCGACTCACCGCACTTTGGCCGTATGGACATTGACCCGCAGGAGATTGCGGATGCCAGGAGCGAGGCTTTGGCGTACCGCTTGTCGGCGAGGGCTATGCCCGTCACGAGTCATCCGCGGGACGAGGAGAGCCGGTATTCTCGCTTCGGGGCCATGATGAATCAAGGGCTCCAGTACGCGCCGGTCAACACGTCGTGGGAAGAGATGTACAGCCGACACCCACGCAGCGACCCATTCCTCAACCGCAGTGCTCCCTCCACGCCGCCCCGGAGCAGTAGCGCCATGCAGCACGAGGAACCACGCGACCCAAAGACCCGCGACGTTCTTCCACCTGGCAGTGAACGTCCCATCTGGCGCGCCATCAACTACCATCCTCCTCCTCCCCTTTATCATCCCTCGCCGGCAGGTCAGCGACTACCGCCCATCCGCACCCAGGACCATCGTCCGTCTCCACTACCTCAGTTGTCATCATCAGCTACTGACATCCTTGACCCGCGTCTGCAGCATCCAGCAGCGCTAGGCGATCCTTTCGAGAAGACCCGCAAGCGCCATCAGACAGACGGTGGTGAATATCTGCGCAAACGACGCCGCATCGAGCCATCCCGCCACAGCGACGATCTGACCACTACAACGCGGCGCGAGGCTTTAGAGCGACCACAGGAGTGCCGTCGCAGTAGGTTTTACGAGCGGCAAACATCCACGATGGACGGCGCGGCTCGCGGCTGCACAGGCAAGGATTACGAGGCAGCGTCGATCCTGGAAGCTTTGCACAAGACAGGAAAAGTGAGCCCTGCGCTCAAACCTAGATCCAGGACCCCTTGAGCTATAGGCAGCGTTGACATTGGTACTGTTTTTTGTCTTTCCTCGGTAGCATTCGTGACATAGCGAGCACAGCGGAGTGAGTATGTTTGTATCATGCATGGGGCGGGCGGACAGGTCTGCTATTGAAACTCTCTCCCCGCAAGGAAAATCATCTTTATTTATGCTTTGCCCGCGATGGCCTTCTTCTGCTCCTTGAACGTCTTGACCCATTCGTCAGCCTGCGCCTTTGGCAGCACGAATATCCTCACGACACCATCTACCACTTCGACCTTGCCGGTGCCCAGCACCTTGAGCAGGGTCACCCTCTTGCCCATCTTGAGCAGGCCACCCTCCCTGGTCTCCACGTAGCACTCCACGCCCTCGGTGGTATACCGCCCCTGCTTGTCCCACGGCAGCGGGAAGACGTAGCCCAGGTGCTCCTCGAGCGTCTGCATCTCGTTAAAGGCCTTGATAAAGTCCGACTCGAGGTCCTTGGGGTACAGCAGCACCGTCGGGAAGCTCAGCGTGCTGCGCGGGTCGTCCGGATCCGGCACGAGCTCGAGCTTGGTGTCCTCCATCTCGGGCGGCTTGTCCGTCGTCCGGGTCGGGATGTTGCGCGCCTTGAGCGCCGCCTTGAGCAGGTACTCGCGCCTCTTAAGGAGCGCCTCCCTCTCCGCGTCCTTTTGGCGCTTGGCGTCGCGCGCCTTGGCCTTGACGACAATGTCGTCCGCCACCAGCTTGAGGCTCGCATTGTTCTCGTCCAGCGCGAGGCCGCGGGCGCAGACGTCGTCCGCCTCCTCGATCCGCCCCACGGCCAGCAGCGCACGTGCACTGCGATAGTACGCCTTGATGTTCTTGGGGTTCAGTCTCAGGGCCGCCGCACAGTCGACCCAGCACGAGCGGTAGTTTTTCAGCTCCAGATGGCAGGCTGCTCTGTTTCCGTACAGCGACTCCAGGACCGCTCGCTGTTCCTGGATCGTCTCGTCAGAGTCAATCTTGCCCTCATTGTCGGTTGTGAGTTCGCCGCTCTGCCTCTTCTTCTCCTCCGGCGCCAGGACCTGGATACCCTTTGTGTAGAACTCGTTGGCGTCGGTCCAAAGCTTGGCCCTGTAGTACTCGTTGCCCTTCTCCTTGAAGTCGCTGCCATTCTCTAGCGGCGAGCCCTCGTACGCAAGTGCTTGCAGCGCAGCCGTGTCGTCATTTTCCTCATACTCTGTCATGAAAAGCGGCGACTTGTTCAAATCGGCGACGACTTCATCCACCGTCATGTTCGAATGGAGCGCATGACCCGGTGGCAGCTGGGGCCGGGTGGCTTGTGTTGGGTCGTTGGATGCAGGACCAGTGGCCTGCTGAGGCCCCATGGTCCTGGCCACCTGGTCGGCGATGGCATCAAGATCCATTTTCGGCTGATGTCGCGAGGCGCGTCAATGCGTGAATGGGAGTGAGTGAGGTTGCTGTGCGGGTGAAAATTGAACATCTCCAACTTTTGCAAGTGGTGTGGCGAAAATCTCATTGGGCGCCAAACAGAACATTTCCACGTAGATCTATCGGAATCTGCGCGATTGACTCATTCGGCAACTTGAAGGCTAACGTTAATGTTTAATTGCTTCATTCATCTATGTGCTCATGATCTTTATGCTATGTACGTAATTTTTTAACCGCCCGAAACGCCCTGCAATGACAACCAATTTATGGGGATATCTTTAATAGCATGCACAACCAACATGCAATCAAATCACATCCGCCAGAGCCCAAACGCCAAAAAACAATAATCCGATGGCTCCCGCGATTCCCAGGACCTGCGCCTGCGAAATCGCTGTGGAACTGTAGATATGGTCAACATTTCTTTCCACGCGAGCCTTTCATGAGGCTGGCGTGTCTTGAAACGGGTCGAACGATGATAAAATGCAAACAACTAGTCGCTTCGGTCGTCTGATACTTCAGTGACCACGACGGAAGGTCGGTGCTTGCGCTGAGAAGGGGCGACTTCTTCGTGAGTGTCGGGGCATCGCTCCCGAGTCACCGAGAAGCACTGTACGGCACCAACAATCGCCACAAGGGCGCTGCCATACCAGGCCACGGCGGTGCAGTCCATGCGGCTGCCCCAGGTGTACAGATACCCTGCAACAGGGGGTGCGATCATGCGGCACGCCGCGCCGGCGCTGGCAGCAAGGCCGTTGATGGCGCCGAGTGCTTTTGGTGAAGGGGTGGCCTCCTTGAGGAGGATGAGGAGGAGGGGGTAGAGGATAATGGAGAGGATGTTGCGCACTGTCAGGCAGGCGTAGATGGCAGGGAAGATGAGGTTCTGGGGGACAAGGAGGAGCATGGGCACGAGAGCGTACGCGATGGGATGTAGCACCGTGACAATGAGAAACAGCTTGTACACACCGACCCGCTCGGCAGCAATCGGGAAGATGACAGCCTGCACGAACAGGGCAATGACACCGTTGACGGCCATGATCATTCCGACGGACGGCATCGACAAGCCCAGCCCACCAGGCGAGTAGAATGGTGGCACGGCGCCACTGTGGCCGGCGGCAGCCTGCATGACCGAGTTGACGCGCTCGTCCTCGAAGAAGATGGGCATCAGGTGATCGTATGTCATCGAGTGGTAGGTGAAGATGCAGAGGGCGATGATCAAGTTGATGATGCGCTTGCTCCAGATGCTGGGGATGGTGCTCTTCTCGCGCGTAACCTCTTCGCACTCGTCTTCGACGTTGATGGCGCCGTAGGTTTCAGAGCGAAGATCAACCGCAGGTCGCTTCATGGCGTCTGACGTTTCGAGCAACGGCGTCTCCTCGGAGACATATGTGTCGACAGGCAAAGCCAAGCGAGGCTGCATGTCAGGGTGCGTCTCTTCGAGAAGGAGGAAGCCTAGCACGATGCTGATGGCCAGCAGCCCCGCGCAGACAAGGTTGGGGAGTAGGTATGGGAAACGATCGAACAGGCTGCCCTCTGGGAACAAGCCTGGCCAGGATGCGTGGGGTTCGGCAAACGTACCGCCAATGCAGGGTCCAATGATTGTACCGACGCTCCATACGAAGGGCATGACAGAGTATGCACGCGGCTCGTGCTCTGGCTTGGTGACAAGCTCGCCGACCATGGTCTGGATGACACCAATGTTGCCGTTCAGCAGGCCGCCCACGGCGCGTCCGATCAAAGCCATCCAGATGTTGGAGGCGAAACCGACGAGGACCATGCTGAGCATGGTGCCGAGACATCCAACAACCAGGACGGGCTTGCGGCCTACGCGATCCGAGAGCCCGCCCCAGAACATGCCCATGGCCGCCTCAGCCAGCGAGAAGGAAGAGATGAGGAGACCGGCGTAGAAGGCCGCATCTTGTTCGTTTCCGACGTGGAATTGCTTCACGAATGCCCAGGCGTAGGGGAAGATGGATGTGAGCGCGATTGGCTCGGCCAAGCGTACGATGGCTATTGGACACGCAAGGTTAGCATGGTGTGTGGGATGTCTCGGGAACGGGAGGGGCGGCGCTTACCAAGGAGGAAGAGTTGCAATGTCGGGAAGTCATCGGGGTTGCGAGTGCGCGTCTGCTTGATTAGAGACATGCTTGTGTACTCGACGAAGTCTTACAGCAGCGGACACAACGGATACCGTGGGGTGGAATGCGTGTGTGCGTGCGTGCGTGCCTCACTGGCTATAGAAGGAATGTAAGAGAGAGAGAAACGCTTGCTCGATCAACCCAAAGGGAGATCAGAGTAGCGATAGACGTCGACTGTGAGGCGGCTAGAATGTGAGTGAAGCTTGTTGGGATGGAGGGAACGGAAGGTGTCGAGGTGTGAAGGAAGGCAGCGAGGTTATTTCTACTTGTACTTGTTTTCGCGGGCCATGAACAAGGCAGGGCTGGTGGGGTGGGGTGCAGGCAGGCGCCACCCAAGTTCCGGGATCAGCAGAGACAGTGGGTCGCTGCAGCCGGCCCTGGCCTGCATATGTCTGCATGCACTTAGCGGGGTGAGACCGGTGTGGATGGCTTGGGGTGGGTTGGGGTGCTATCGCCGTCTGCGCACGCATTGAATTGCTGGAGCAGTCGAAGAACATACAAAGGAAGACTTCGTCTAGACATATTGAGCACTATTAAATTCGTTCTTATCAAAATGCCAGCTTGTTATCATATTCGCTGCTATTGCTTTCGCCTCCCAACGCGTGGCGCGGCGTCTGGCTGCGAGGTCACAGGTCACAGCGTCAAAGTCGACAGCCGCCACTTGGAATGCTGTGTCTCAGTCGCACGTTCTGCCGGGGAAATCGACGGCAGCTCGCTGTGCAAGATGAGCGCAAGCAGGCGTGTCTCAGACGGCGAGAGCGTTGGTCGCTGCAACCGCCAGATAGCAACTTGAACTTAGATGCAGACTGGACACTACATGCAGCAAGCGTTGTGCGCCCTTGGCAACCACACGACCTGTCTCACTTGTTTCCTAGACCGCAACACAATAATTACACTGCAATCAGCCGCAAAGCCATAGCTTACTGTCGTATTATCGAAGACGATTAAACCTCATTGCCTTGACTTGACGCCTGTGTCTCACAACTCGTCCGCTCATCTCGTCGATCCGGAAAACCATAGCACGAGGGCCCCGCCGTGAATCCCCTCCCCCTCGTACGCCTCGAACGCGCTCCGCCGGTGATTGGCTTGCTTTTCAATATGCTACAGGGTCCGTGCGCGGGGCTAGTGTCAACTTGGCCAAGCGGAGTTGCCCGATAATGCTGATTCGTCCGCGCATTATTGAAAAGCTTTCGCACCCTTTCGCACCTGCATGGCCGAGTTCCACCTTGACTTCAACGAGGGCGACGGACCACGCGACACGCCGTCAATTAAACAGCCTGGCGAGCCTGAATCATGACTTGATAAAGACCTCGAAAGATACTGACCCGATGCTACGACATATACACAATCACATCCCTATCACAAGCGTGCGCGTCACCAAGGTGTGTTGCCTGAAGATGCGGTGAGGAAGGACAAAGCGTTTCACAGCGGCAGCGATCGCACCAGACATCGTACATTTTGATCCCCGGACATTATTTCCGCCCCGTTCACACAGCCGACGTCGGGCGGCGCTAGCACGCTGCACTGCACATCCACATGCACATAGCGAGGCGTGGGCACCAGACGCGCAGCCCGAAATGCCATGGCCAACTTGTGATTGAACTTTTGCAGGATCGACTGCCACCATCAGTAGTGGCTGCTGTACCAAGGCTGCAAGTTTTCAACAGCAAAAGATGAAACACGGCTGAGCGAGAACGACTTATAGAAGCCTCGCGATGAGGTCAACTATCGAAACCGTTTCTTTTTGTTCCTGTCGCGACGTCACCCAATTTTAAATTTACAGATCCTGCCATATACATACCGTAATATCTCAGAAAGGTCGAACAGACTGCTTCGAGCATATTGTGTCAATTGGCGACCGGGGTATTATATTGATTGGGCCCTCCGCAGTTTTAATAGGGTATAAGCTCGGACCAGCCTGTTCGACCTTTCTGAGATGTTACGGTATAGGGTCGAGGGCCGTCCGTCCCTGCGTCACATCAGGCACAATGTCGCCTCGATAACTCGCTCACACCATCAATTCTCCCGGTGGACAAAAAGGTTCCTCGTGTCATGTGTCGCGAACGAAGCGGGCACAGATATGCATTTAAAGAATTGCAGTCGACGCCAAGAAGAAGGTCACTTTAGTTCCCGAGGGGGAGTGCGTGTCTAAATTCTTGTGCATGCTGCGGGGTGTGCTTCTGGTGATAGAGGCACCCTATTCTTATTAGAAGAACGTATACAAGTATTCTCTGCCAACCTAGATATGTGGCTCTTGGCGATGGACAACCCAGAATAAGTGTCAAATTGAAGTATGCCTCTAAGCTCATCAGTCCCTGCATTCTTGTACGTGCTAGAGGCTTATGTCGCTCGCGTGTCTTCGTCCGTGCGAGGCTCCTGCTGCAGCTCATCGCCAACATGAGGAATGGGGCCAAGACGCTCAGCCTACCCGGTAACGCAGCATTTTGAGGTATTCAACAAGTTACATGTAGCTGCCTAGGACAAAATGGTCAAGGGACATTGCATATCAAAATGGTCGTCCTTTTTTTTTCAAATGCAGCTCAAAGACACCACGATTTGCATACAGACGGGGCACAGTATATGAATTGAGACAGCGCTGACACTGTTTGTACAATAATTCGGGAAATATCGAGTCAAAGCCCAGGTATTAACGCTATCTCTTCATAGGAACTTTCTTCACTTTTGTACTCGAGATAACATTTTGCAATATTCTGGCTAAAGATAGTCAGTCACTCAACTCAGCCATACTGCCACGGGCACTCAGTCGTGTACGGGAACCGCGGTATTGTTCTTTTTTTTTCTTCATGAAGGATATGAGGTCTATTGAATGTACCTAGGAAACGCTCTTGGATGCCTGCAGTCTCAGGCATTCACATCTTCAATAGTACGTAGTCCGCCAATTTCGACGGCCAAGTATCTTGACCGGGTTGAACTTTGGTTGCCAACGTGAGAACAGGCGCACACCGCTTGGCAGAACGCACAAGCCGGTCCACACTTTCAGCTAGATTGAGCTGAAGCTGAATTGCACAAAACAGCCCGAGAATTCTGGTTGAGTTTTCTGATTGGCGCAAATGGGCCCTCCAAGGGTGGAATCGCAATCACTCCTCGTGCACTGACCAGCCTCTTCGTCTATATAAACATCGCTTCCCCCGGCCCAGAACTGCTTCGATTCCCTCTTCTTTTTTTTGGGGCTCTCTATACTTACCTTGGATATCGTTATGCTGCTCAAGATGAGCGTAGCGGAGCGCAAGGGGCCTGCATTGCACATCGCGGCGCCAACTTGCGCGCTATTGCCCTTCGGGGTCATAGTATCCAAAATTTTTGATGGCCTTCATTTTCATTGCTGCCGAGCTTGATGCTCGACTGTGAAGAAGATTTGCTCCTATCAGCGTGTCGCTTCTGCACATGGTCGTACGGACCTGTGCGGTGTCACTCGCTGTGTTGATTGTTATGGTATGGGGTGGTTGGGGTCGCACGGCAACAAGGTCGAGTTTCCTCAGCCGTCACAGGCTCAGCTCAGACTCACATACTCCACACAGCACAATGCCTCGTACAGTTCACCCCTTGAATGTTTGTACACAAGAGACTTAACCCCAGTCGCGTATTTTCTTAGCAGATACACGGGCCCTAGCACCATTCGATCGTTATCAAGGTACGCCAATAATTTCGCGGTAGCAATAGTCAATAATGAACACGCTATCTTGATTCATTCTTGGGCCCTTGCTAGCGCAGTCGATGCACTCTTTTTACAATATTACAGGGGTTGGATTGTACAAGGCAACGCTCTGCCTGCCGTGCACGGGATGTTGAAAACGAGAATGCCAAGTGAAATGTCTTTCAGGACACTGGCTCGATTCCACTGACGGTTCTAGCCTTCTTTGACAACCAACAAATACAGCTTGTCATATTTGTGCCCCTTTTCGCACGCCTTCCTGATGTCTGGAAATCGTGATGCTGAGCTCAGTGATGTCGCCAGAAGCTACGCAAATATGTGCCAATGCCCTTTTCGAGGAACCAACTTGTGGCTATTGAATATTGTTCCAACATGAACCACCTTTATTGACCTTTTCATGCCGGAGTCTGGGGATCGATGATGCTTGGACTTTCAGCATGACCGATTGAACGCGGCCCATTGAAGAATACCGCTTTTTCGTCCGGCTCCCAAGCTTCAAGGGCCTCGTTGACTCAATGCCGCTCGAGATAGGATGCGAGGGTATCGGCCTCAGAAAGCTCAGCTCAGAAGTACTGCGTATTTTGATTCATGCCCGAGATGTGCGTGATCACACAAGTCAATGTTCAGCGGTACACCAGATATATACCGAAGATGAAAGTCGTCTCCAGTTTGCTTGACGCTCTGTCAGAACCTGCCGTAGCCTTAGGGACGCTGGCAGCACAGCGCTTGGCCATTCTCTACGAGTTCAGCCTCATGGAAGTTTACGGCGACAAGAAAAGCATTGCTTTCCCAGAAGCTCAGCGAATGGAAACAGCCAGCGCACATGCGTTTCATGTCTGTGGCTTCATCAATGGTTTGTTCAGTGCCATATGGACTGTGACTCGACATGGAGTCGAGAGTTTGGCTATGTGAGGCCATCTGTGTATTGACCACCAAGGCCGGAGTGGTCAACGGTCAGCACTTTGAAATATTACAATGCAAGTTCTTATACCGCAGACATTCGCGACCCGGGCGCCATGACCTCCAAGCGTGCATCTTTAGTGAACACAGTTCGCAGCAGCCCCGACGAATGGATCCTTCGCCACGTTATCTTGGAGGATGAAGACATCGAAGGCCGATGAATGATCCATGCCATATCAAGTGCACTCAGGACAGAACATCGCTCCATGGCACAGATGTTCCCGTAATGAGACGAATAAAAAATCTTGATTCACAACCTAAACGCCTTTTACACTTGCCCTCGGATATGCCAACCCCCTGAAAGATCCATCCCATTTGCCGTGTACCTGAACTCCATGCCGAAATGACTAAATAATGGTTCGAGAAGAGAAAAGTCTTATGGCTGCGCGGGAGCAGGCACGGGCGCGTCGCTCTCGCTGATGACGCTGCCGACCTCGGACCAGCTCGACGGGGTCATCATGCCGTCGCTCTCGCTCAGGACGCCGTCCTGCGAGCGGTCCTCGATGCCCTCGGCGCCGTCAATGACGGACATGCTGTCGGTGGGCGTGAGCTGCCCGTCGTCGCTGGCCAGCTCGGGCTCCGAGGCGGGCGCGGGCGTGGAGGGCATGGGGGAGTACAGGTCGTGGGACGAGTTCTGCGCCCAGGCTTGGATGGAGGCGTAGGCGCCGTCGTCCTGTCCGGCCGTCGGGTACTCGGCGTCCACGGTCTCGGAGCGACTAGACGCCACGTCGACGACCGATTCGGGAGCGGGTGTCCGTGGCTCGTCGGCGGTGGTGGCGCTGTAGAGATCTTCCATCTCGTCCTTGGTGGGGGCAATGTGGCTGTCGTCCATCTCCTCGGAGCCGATGCCATTCTCGTCGGCAAAGGGGTTGGCGTAGAGGGAAGCCTGGGGCTGGCCACGTTGGCGCATACCATCATGGTGGAGGCCCGTGTCGGCGCCTGTCTTGTAGACGAAGGACCCCTCCTCGCCGGTGGCATCGCGCACGAGAAAGCCATCAAAGGTATCGCTGTCGTGCCTCGACTTCTCCTCGTCCTCCACTTCCTGCTTCTCTTGCTCACGCTTGAGCCTCTGAGCATTCCAGTACAACAGCTCCTCCCGTTGTCTGCGCCTCGTCTCCTCGTCGGCATCGACGCCAGGCTCGGCGCTGGACTGGAGGAAGCCGTGCATGTCTTCGGGGCGGTTGAAGAGCGGCTCGGACTGGGGCGGGTTTATGCCGTCGCCCATGGAGTAGAGCGCGACGGCAATCTTGCGGCGGACATCTTCAGCGTAGCGACGGACCTCGGGCGACTCGTAGATGGCCACGGCGGCGGCGACGGCGACAGAGACGGCGACTGCGGCACCTGAAGCCAGGACGACGTGATTAGCAGGAGGCATGTTGTGCGGGTGCGAGGAGAATGAAGGGGGAATGGAGAAATAAATCAAAAGTCATAGCAAGCAAGGCAGATGGCAGATGGCGTGGACAAGTCGCGGTCAGATCAGGCGACTAGAGTTCTTGGAAGTGGTTTTGCCACCTCCAGGGTCTGGTACTTTGGTTGCTGGCTGATGCCGTGGCCCATGCGTGGAGGGGCGGATGATGGGGATCGCCCGCCCCGTTTCGTCAAATCACCATGTCTGCCTTGCTGCACTTTCCCATCACTGGGCGGTGACGCTGCATGCACGGTCGATCGGACATACCTTTGGCCGCCAGCGGAAGCGGCATGATGGTACAACAGGATCGAATGGATTCTGCTGGTTGATAATGCTGCGAATGAGGGGTGCAAGGTGAGGGACATGGACTGGAGGTGACGGATGAGAGACAGGACTCGGAGTTGGGGGGGCGAGCCTGGGGTCACTGGAATGAGCCGCAGCCTGTGGCGGTGCAGAATGATGAGCTGAGGCGTATGCAGCGTCGCCCAGCCCTTGCTCTGGAGTCAAGGTCAAGCCTTGCCGGTCCAGAATCAAACAACGATGAACAGAAGGAGTCGTAATGAACCTTTCACTGACTTGGAGTCGGCGTGAAGTTCAACATTGATGAGCTAAATCAAGATGATTTATAGTGCATGCATGATCGCGGCCCCACTGACATGAGCGCCGCCGCCGCTCCATCAAACTCCACAGCTTCCGGTCAAGCCTGTCATCCTGTCTGGCCTACCCTGCATACGCCAGCCTACATAGCTGTTTCCCACGAGTTGCAATGACTTTGCCTACAAGTGATCATCCTGGCTCAAAAGACCAGAAATGCAGAATCGTCTTGTCGAAATGGCTACGCCTAGTTGTTGTAGAAAATTTCATGTTCGCTATCAGGGACCATCGCTCAAGAAACCTTAGCACTCCAACCTAACCCTCTCATTTACCCACCCTTGGCCCCGGCTGGTCAAGAGGCGGAAGGAGACTGACGACCTTCTGGCTGATCCCGAGTTCCCCAGACGACGACGAGCCCTTGGCCGACTTTGGCGCGGTCGACTCGCTGTGGGCGGCACTCAACGTACTTGAAGCATCCGACGTGCTCGTCGAGTCCACTGACGTTACGTCCCAGGAGGCCCTGTGATCCCCCTTGGGGATGAGGCCTCCATCCTCATCAGCCATGCGCTTCATGTCCTTCTTGAACTGCGCCGTCTTCTGCTCCTTTCTGCACACTCGTCGTCAGCGCACCAATCCCGCCAGGCATGAGCCGGAACGGGGGCCACTCACAGCTGCTCCCTGGTCATGATGCTGCCCTTGTACAGCGGGCTGTTGGACCGGGCGTGGAACGTGACAGGACTGAGGACGGCAAGGTCGCGGGGGACCTCGACGCGACCCTTGCTCCTCACGTCGCGAGACGAGAGGTTGGGCATGGGCTGCGAGGTGTTGCTTGTGGCCCACATAGTGCTGTGGTGGCGGCTGTTCGGCCAGCAAAAGGCTAGAAAGGGGGCGAGACGGTCATGCACAACGGCAGCGGGACGATTCGTATGAATGAGGGGGCTGAGCCGAGACAGAGGGTTGGTTGTGATTTATACGGGTGGCCTGGGAGTAAACCTTGGCCAGGGGGATTCGCGTCTGGCTGTGACGGCATGGCTGTCGTAGCGGATCATCAAAAACATCCCAAGAGGGAGCTCTCCTGTATTGTGGGCGGGGCAAACGATACAGGATCAGGCGGCGTAGGCGTAGATGCTTGTCGACTCTTTTCGAGCCAGGCGCATGAGCGGGTGTTTGGGCGTCTGCTGAGAGGAATTGTCCCTTGACGGCTACAAGGCGTGACGTCTTGGTCACCAGACAGCAGCGAGAGCTTGAGGTCTGTTCGTCAAGCTAGAAGGCGTTCGAAAAAAGCCCGCAGCAAGCCAGCACGTCAAGCGCGAGACCGGGCCATCCCTAGCCTAGAGCAGGCACAACCTTCTTTGGCCATCTGCCTCAGCGACGAAGAAGAGGTGACGGACCACCCGAACCGGTCGCAGCTGGGACCCGCCCCTCAAGGTTAAATCTCGAGCAGTTTCGCTCGGGGGGTCATGCGGTTTGCCATCATCGACTGTCCATCATCCGCATGACCTCGTCCTCTTCGTCGTTGCCGCGCTTGGTGCCATTCCCAACGCGCAGGCCCCTCTGCTTCATTTCCGCCTCGACCTTGCTGCGCGTGACGGCGCCCTCGTTCATCCACGGCATGTCCTCTCTTCGCTTCCTCATGATGTTGTCCACACTCATAAGACCCACAACGAGGAAACCCAACTCTTCCCTGTCCACGTCAAAGACCTCCCACCAAGCGGACTCGGGCATCTTGGCGCCAAAGTCGCGTGCCGCGCAGTATATGGCAGCGGTGGCCAGGGCGTGAGGCTGGTGGGTGACGTAGAGCATCTGCGGTGAGAGCAGCGCCGTGTTGAGATGTTGCATCACGCGAGCAGAAATGTCCTTCTTATCCCCCAATCCGAGAAAGTCGAGGGTCTGGAGGTATGTAATGGCCAGCGGGTGAGGCAGGGAGACGTGGGTGTTGAAGGACAGGGCGTAGAGGATCCGCGCCTCGAGCGCAAGGATGCGGTTCTGGAATGCGTAATAGTCCGACTCGGAAAGGTAGTATTCTGCCGGATTATCCCCTGTAGGCTTCTCGGCGCGCAAAAGTGGCGATTGCGAGGAGAGTAGATATGCGTAGACGTTGGCGATGTCGCGTGCGGACTGTGGTAGGGGACCCATCTTGGAGACGATGAAGAGGGCGGCTGCCGAGACGTCCTGTGTTTCCGAGCCAAGTCAGCCATTGCTTGTCGTGTCTCTGTCTCGTGAGCTTACGCTGAACTCATGCATCATGGGAGAGTCGACCAGCCAGTACCGCGCGAGCAAGACACTGGCCTGTGCAGTGGTGGACTGGGGGAGCTCCAGGAGCAGGCCGGCAGCTTGCGTGAGGCATTGCGTGGTGGTGAAGACCACTTCTTGCAGGTCGTCCGGCAGCTGTGAAGAGGACTTGAGGTTGTAGAGCTGCGCAGGGGTCGCGAGAGGGTTGACGAGGTGCGCCATGTCGGTGTAGGCGATGCAGTCGGTGATGGTGGTTGTTGGTGTTGAGTTTTTGAAGCTGCATGACGATGGACGGGACCTGCAGCTTTGGAGGTGGGGCTCCGTATGGGGGTCTCTATTCCGCTTCCGCTCAACCTCACTCATCCTCATCCTCCTCCTGCTCTCTACACGTCCACCCAGGACACGCGCACCGCCATCCCACGACCCCAATGTGACCCGTCCCCATCCTACGCACACTATCATGTCGGCGACGATCTCCGCCCCGCCCTCGCCCAGCGATGACAAGCCCTCGTTCGACCTGAACCTCCAGCACGGCCACAAGGACCTCGTCCAGTCCATCGCCTTCAACACCTACGGCGACCGCTGCGCGACCGGCTCCGTCGACGGCTCGATCCGCGTCTTCAACCGCGCCCGCGACGGCACCTGGCGCCTCTGCGATACCTGGACCGCCCACGGCGCCGACGTCCTCGAGCTCCAGTGGCTCCCCGCCACCGTCTACCCGAACCTGCTCGCCTCGCTCGGTATTGAGGGCTGGTTCCGCCTCTGGGCTGAGGACCCGAGCGCCGCCCCCGGTAGGCGCTTCTCGAGTGGCGGCCAAAAGTCTACCGGTCGCCCGGCCTTTGACACGCGCTCCTCCGGCAGGGCACCCTACAGGAGCTTCAGCGTGCGACACGTCGACGACGGCGCCGCCCGGCACACCTACCTTGCCCTGCTGGCCGCCGACGGCCGGCTGAGCATCTTCGAGAACGACCAGCCCGAGAACCTGACCGAGTACACGCCCGTCGATGAGTTCTTCATCTGTCCCCGCCCCGCGCGAGGCGAGGAGGTCTCCTTCACGGTGCGCTTCGACCCCGGTCCCGAGCCGTGCTACGCGGCTATTCGGGCGGGTGTGCCCTCGGATGCGCTAGGCCTGGTCGTCGCGGGCATGAGCACCGTCAAGGTCTACCGCTCGCGCGATGTCGTCACCACGTCCTACGGCGTCCAGGCCACCTCCAAGGAGTTCTACTTGGCGGCCGAGATCACGGGGCACAGGGGGCTGGTGCGGGACGTGGCGTGGGCGCCAGGTAACATTAGAGGGTACGACATCATCGCAACGGCGTGTCAGGATGGCTACGCGCGCGTGTTCAAGCTTGAGACACCACTGGACGCGGCCGACGCGGACGGCAAGTCGTGGTCCGCGACGGCCCTCCTCAAGCCAGACTCCACGGCCCAACGCGACGCCGCCTCGTCCGCGCAGCGGGAGGCGTCGGACAAGGCACACGGGCATCACCCTTCGACGCTGAGCGCCAGCCTCGCCAAGTCGGGCGCCAATGCCGAGCGGCAGTGGACGGGGCAGCCGGGGCAGGTGAGGCACGAGTACACGGAGATTTCGAGGCTGGAGAGCCACCGTACGCCAATATGGCGGGTGGGTTTTGATGACGACGGGCAGATCCTGGCGACGACGGGGGATGACGGCAAGCTGCTGTGCTACCGGCAGAAGCCTGACGGGACGTGGGCCAAGAGCTCCGAGCTGGCCATGATGAAGACCCGCATGGCGGTGCCTTGACATTGTACTTTGTACCAAACATGATAATTATAACAAAAATCACAGGTTCAACGAGAGGGAACAAGTATGCACGTAAAAGTGTTGTTATTGTACTTGAAAGAAAGGAATATCTGGATCAACTCGCCGGCAATGAAAAACAACAACCCAAAGGACGCCACCAAGCAATCAATGTCTGCTTTCTCTTTTGTCCCTGAACGCCAATCATGAAGAAATGCTTCCCATCAGGGGGAAGCCCCGATTACCACTCTCACCCATCGTCATCATCATCAGAGGAATGACCCAATCAGGCCGCGTCCGCGGTGCTGGGAGGCTGGACAACCTTGGTGACCTGGTTGCCGGCGCGGTAGATGCGCTGGCCAGTCGAGTCCTTGACGTACGTAGCATCCTTGTTCTCGGCCTGGGCGCGCTTCCAGATCTCGACCTCGCAGCCGCCGCGAAGGACGCCGACACGCATGGTGGAGAGCAGGTTGTGGGCGGCGTTGGAGTGGTCGTAGACGCCGCCGTTGAAGATGGCGGTGGCATCCTTGCCGATGGCGGAGGAGATGAGGGCCTTGCCACCGGGGTGGTCCTTGATAAAGTCGCCGACGTCGTGGATGACACCGGCGATGACGGTGAGGGCCTTGCCGTTCTTGGCCTGGTCGACAAAGTCGTCCCAGGCCACGACGGGCAGCTGCTCGAGCGGGGTGCCCCAGTCGAGGCGGGAGCGCTTCTGGTCGAGCTTCTTCTGCATCTGCTGGACGCGGCCCTTTTCGATCTCGTTGGCGCGGAACTCCTTGAGGTCGTAGGCGAGGCCGAGCTTCTTCCAGAGGCAGATGGCCCACTTGGTGGGGTCGTACTGCCACCACTCAATGGCGTTGCGGTAGTCCGAGGGGAACTCGTGGTGGAAGTTGTGGTAGCCCTCGCCGAGGGTGACGAGGGCGGTGATGACGTGGTCGCGGGGCGAGTTGCGGTCGTCAAAGGGCTGGTCGCCGAGCCAGTGGGCGAGCGAGTTGACGCAAAAGGTGGCCTGCTGGACGAAGCAGATGCGGAGGATGCCGGCGTAGACGTAGCCGCCCATCCAGTCGCCCCAGCCGAGGCCGCAGACGAGCGTGGGGAAGACGAGGCCCATGGCCACGACGCACTTGAGGAAGTTGACGTGCTGCCACACGACGACGGGGTCCTCGTTCAGGTCGGTGATGTCGGTGCGGCCCGCGCGCTTGGGGTTCTGCTTGAAGACCATCCAGCCGAGGTGGGAGTAGAGGAGACCCTTACGGACCGAGTAGGGGTCCTTCTCGGTGTCGGTGTAGCGGTGGTGAGCACGGTGGCCCCTCGACCACCAGCGGATGGAGCCCTCGACGGCACCAGCGCCCATGGCGGCGAGATAGATCTTGAGAGGCAGCGTGGCCTTGTATGATGTGTGAGACCAGAGACGGTGGTAGCCTATAGGAGTTAGTATGCAATATGGCCGTGCCGTGGCAGGCAGACTACTCACCCGCTGTGATACCGAGACCGGTGTTGAAGTAGTAGATGACTGAGAAGACGGCCGTCTTCCATTGCAGAGGCACCCAGTATGTCGAGGCGAAGCCAAGCAGGGGCACGATGACGATGAAGAGAGTGTTGAGCCAGTCAATGTGCTTGTGGAGGTTGGACCAGGTCATGGGCGTGTCCGCGATATGCACCTTCTTGTCGTTGGCGCCGTTGTTGCGCAGCGGCTTGTAGTCGGTCGTGCCATCCGGAAACGCCTTGGCCTGGACGGCCTGGGGCACTGAGGTCGACATGGCGGATTGTCTGTCTCAACGCGTGTTTGTGACGTGATGTGAACCAACAGAGGATGAGTTCACAGACAAAACAAAGAGATATATGAGATGGAGGGAGAGAAGGTTGGTGAGAAGATAATCAGTTCAGAGAAGCGAGTGGAGGGCAGGGCGAGGCCAAGAAGGTTTAAGAGAGATATCAAAATATGGGGTGGAGCGTGGTTGTTGGGCTGGGTCCTGTGGGTTGGGGCTGGGCGTGGCGGCGTGGATTGGCCACTGAGACCAGGCAAGCGATTTCAGCCTGTCGATGTGAGGCAAACTTGCAAAGTGGAAACGGGCTCGGTGTTGCAATGTTGGACGACCTGGAACGAACCGGGACTGAGACCCCTTCTCTGTGACTCTGAGTCTCTGCCACTCTGGGAGAGATCCCCCACCCCCCTTGGCACGCCCCCCGGAAGCTCGGATTGATGGAACAGCAGCCTGAAGGGTGATACCTCTTGCAAGAGCTTGTATCATCTCAATACTTGCCTGCCTTGGTTCGGTGCGTTCGGCTGCCCGCGGACATGTTGTTGAGGCCTGTCATGGTCATCATCTGTCCGACACGCCGACCTTGACACCGTCAACAATCATCATCATTATTCGTGTAAACAGTTCTCTCCACGCCTACCTCTCTCCATAATGACACCCCTGCTGTATCGCAAACCTCAACCGCAAATTCCTCGTCCCCTTCCTTGGGCTTCCCCAACAACTTTTCTTTGCGAGCGTCGAGCCCCGCCAACGGGCGCCCCCTGATTGGTTGACCGGTGGCAAGGCTGGGCCGGGTCCCGCGTTGCGTCTCTTGCCAAAGTCTTGGCGATGCATCACTCCGCATCAAAGTACCTTGCCGCTTATTCTCGCAGAGGGATACATGTCTCCCGATCCAGGCAATTCTTTATCGGATTGCGAGGAGCTGCCAGAGTGTTGCGATTGATCTTGTGCGACGTGATGGCATTGTCTTAGATTGTAGTCCAGATTATCCAACATAAAGTTTTGTGCTACCGAGATAATGAAATAGAGTACGATTCCGTGGCCCAATCAGACCAGGCTGATGTGCAGCTGCGCTCACCCAACATTACGCCATCCAAGACGGACCATCAACCAAGTCTACATTTACCTGCCCTCCTTACCTCGGGTTCACATGCCCTCGTCGTTCCATTACAATGTCACCATGATGCCACATGATGACCTGACCTGGCCTTATCGTCGGCACACAGTCATGCGTCCGACAGCATATGCTGTTGCATGTACACACCGACACGACGACATAAGCAGCCCCAACAGAAAAATCGCCGAGGGCCAGAACCAGAAGGGAATGCTCGGCACGGCCGCACGGGGGAGCGGGCGCTTGCACCCAGGGGTCCAATCCCGAGGTGCGCCACCGTGCCTGTGGCGGGGTCACGTGGCTCAGCTGTCAGAATGCTGGGATCCACTCTTGGAGCTTCTAGAAGGCGCAAGAAGGTGGCAATACAGTTGTCTTTACCAGGTATGATAACTGCTTGTAATACTCCGTACGTCTCTCTCATTGTGCTCATTATGCCAAAACCATGTCCACGCAGTATACCACCCTTCCGTTCGTCCTGCGTGACATATAAAAAAAGAAGATGTGGTCATTAAAATCATGTCTGTCCATCTGTCGTTAATAATGCCTCCTGTCTCGAGACAATGTGAAAGCCGCCGTCGTATTCTTTTGCCCGCATCGGATCTTTCTCTGGCGTGAGATCGCCAGCCGTAAAGTCCAATCCGTCCTGTTGTTCGCAAGGGGAGATTCGCGGCGTCGTGCTGAACTCGTAGTTCGCCGGTGCGTCGACGTCCCCGGACGCCTCATGCGTCTCTGGTGCCTCTGACGGCTCCTCGACGGCCGTCTTGGGCCTGACGTTGGCATCGACAACGTCCGCAGCTGTACGTATATCAGTCAAGGCTGGCTCGTCATCCTTGACCACTGCATCTTCCACTTCCTCTTTCTCAGCCACGGCCGAAGATTCGTCGGCCGAGTCACTTCCAGACGACGCCTTCCCGGCCAAGATCTTCTCGCCAAGCTGGGCGACACCGAGAAGTGCCGCGCTGTCTAACAAGCACTCGGACCGGTCGGGGACACTGCCGTCTGCCACGGCTTCCGCTGCCACGGCGTTGGGCTCGGGACTTGTTGTGACAGGTTCCACAGGTTCTTGTCGCACTGCCAATGAGGCGGTACCGTGCTCTACAGTTTCTGCTGCATCTTGACACGGATCGGCGGCTTTCTCAATAACTTCAGCCTCATTGTCCATAGGATCTTCGACAGCGTCTGTTGCTGGCTCGTGAACCTTGGGTGTCGTGGCTTCATCATCCTCCGTTGTCGGGCTTTCAGTGTGCGATGCCGACGGCGGAGCGTCTTCTTGAATGTCTTGTGCTCTCACCTCACTGGCAACCTCGTCGTCGAAGGAGCGCCCGTTGTTGGGGCATGGCGTTGCGTCGGCCGAACCATGCAGCAGTTGGTTATCAGTCATCCAACCCGCCATGCCGTCCATCTCCTGCGGCAGTAAAAACGTCGGCATCTCGCCCGAGGCGCTGGGCGTGAGCTGTTGGATCACCTCGTCCGCCCCAATGTCGCTGTAGCACGGCCGAATATTCCTGTTCGCAGCCCAGGCAGACTCTGTGTGGAATCTTCGTGGCGACTTGGAACCGCAGTCGACGTTGCTTGGCATCGGACTCGGAGGAGAGCGGCCTCGCGGAGCGTAATGCTGCCAGGCGTTATAACCTCGCGAATCGCTCGGCCCGTTGGAGCGATCCGGGCTGAACCATCGACTATTCAAGTCATTGACCTTGATCCTCGGCCGGCCGTCTGGGTGGTATTCCTGCTGCGGCGTTGCGTGCAGGGCGTCGTCCGCAGGGACGAGATTCGTGGCAGGCACGGGATCGTCAGGGAGCAATTGCACGAGCATGGAAGCTTGCAGACGGTTTCGAGGATCGGGGCTGAGGCAAATGTTGGTCGCCTTCCTGTACCAGTCGGCTATCTGAACATCGTCCCCTAGGATGAGCGGCCGTCCCTCCCTATCCGGCTCGTCTTCATCCATTGCCAGTGCCCACAGCACCATGCCGAGCTGGTACAAGTCGGACTTGACACCAATGTACATGGTGATGCGCTGATTGGATTCGATCAGGGCCGTCGCCTCAGGAGGCTCCCACCCGACCGGGCAGCCTCTCCGATTGATGTCTATGATCTTGGCATTCTCGAAGTCGTCAATGACAATGTTGGACAGCGTAAAGTCACCCTGCACAAAGCCGGACTCGTGGACGTCAGCCAGCCCACGGATGATCTGTTTCGCCCAGCGTTCCTTGAGAAACTGCGCTAGTCCTTGCCTCCTCTCCTTGCAGCTGTCGTAGATGATGTCGGCGAGAGCACCCCCGTTTGCGTAACTGATAAGAAGACCTTTGACGCACTCCCGCTCATCGTCTACCACCAAACCGTAAAACTTGATCACATGGTCCGAGTACGTCAGGCTGCTCAAGGCATTGATCTCGTAGAGGAACTCTTCCACCGTCTCTGGCCCGGGAATTTCCTTCTTGATCAGGGGCTGGTTGTCGATAGAGACCTTGTATACAAACCCGGACATGTGGTGATCAAATAACAGCTCTCGCTCCCTGACAAGCTTGCACCCGAGGTGTGCGACCTGCTGAACCGGGGGGTAGCTGAAGATTTCGTTGCCATCCTCCACCACGTGCACATGCAGCCGATCGTCGGTCGTTTCCAGCTTGAGGTTGGTGACCGTATCGTAGAACTGGATCTCAGGCAGGCTTTGACGTATTGACTCGTAAATCTTGGAGCTCTTGTCGCGCTGGTACTTCATGCCCAACAGCTCTTCCTCGAGCGAGCCCTCGGGCGCATTCCGGTAGTCGAGCGTGACAGTGACGCGACGCCACAGCTGTTCGCTCTCGCGGTAGGTGACAAAGAACTTTTCCCGATTGGAGCGGTCCTTGTAGCGCATGCTGAGGTTGAGGATCCAGGTTGTCTCCAGCTCGTAGCGGAGCATCCTGTCAAATTCGTCAATCTCCGAATGTGCTATAGATCCATCTTCTGTCATGGCTTCCGATTCGTAGCCCTGAGTCTGCTGCAAGTTGTCACCAAAGGGTTCGCCGCCTAGCGATTGCGCGTGGAGGTCGGTGGTGTCTTGGGCGAGCGTCAACGACGAAAAGGGGGCCGGTTCATGGTTCGCTACTACTGAGCTGATGTTGTCTGGGGCGCTTGCGCGTGGATCTGTCTGCCCTTGATGCCGCGTGTGGAGGGCATGAGAACGCCTATCCATCGACACGGCCCTTCTCTCCTCGGGTGTGGGCTGGACGGGCGCCAGACGGTCCCTATCCTCCGACAGCTGGCGCTTGAACGTCTTCACACGGGGCAAGCCAGGGACGACACTCCTCGACACGCGGCGCGGGGCGGTGCCGGCGCCCTTGACGGGGTCATGATTCTGGTCTTGCGAAGTCGTCTCCTCCGGAGACTGCAGCTGAGGCGCAGTCTGAGAACCAGCGAAGCCCTGGGGAGGCACCGACTCGGAGCGCCCTCGCTGATGCGCGCGATCCAGCAGCCTGGAGAAGAAGTGCCTGTGTCTGGCGGTGGGCGGCGGCTCGGTTTGTGGGTCATCGGGCTGAGCCATGCTGTGATGACAAGGCCGGAAGGCGGGGGGTGGGAGTGGCGGTCAACGGTTCCTGGCGGGCCAATATGACGGATGGAGTACTACTCCCCAAAGAAAGTAGAGGTGTTCCCGAGGTCGTGGATGGAGAGGCGCGAGAGCAAAAAGTCTGCAAATGAGGCGATGCTGCTGATGCAGTAGACAGAGACGTCTTTATCTGTCGGTGGTAAGGCAGCGTCCTGCTGCAGCGCGCTTGCATGCACGACCAAAGGCCCGTTCCGGCACCGCAGCGTCCCTGTCGCTCCAAGAAGTGACACAGGAGGACGGACAGATTGTCGCACAGCAGGATGTAGCAGTCGTTATGTTTGTGTACGCCGAGCGAATCTGGGGTAATCCGGATAGGCTATTGCGTACGTGCTCCGTAGATGATGGAAAGAGAGAAGGGAGACGGACGTCAAGGATCGTGAGACAGACGCATGAGTGCCTGACCGTGACCTGTTCCGACCAGCCCACAATAGTGCACCTGCAGGGGACGACGATGCTGCGCGCGCGTGGGCGCGACGTATTGGCTGCCGCTGATGGGTCTCGCTGCGCGGGAATACTTATGTAGGTGATGTGCTCAAGTCGGGACTGAAGAGCGATGGTGGTGCTGATGCTGAGGTGAGGTGAGGTGAGATGCTCGATATAGACTGGACGTTGTGGCTGGGCTGGTGAGCTCCTGCCCTGTAGTTTGGTGATGCGATGCTCACAAACAAGTCAATGGGCACAGGGAAATATAGTACCGTACTGTAGCGCAGCCCCAAGGTAATTTTTATCCACCTTCACAGTCACCAGACAGCCGCCCCAGCCTCCTTCCAAGCACGCATCGTGATAAGAGACCCTGCCGATGGGTTAAGACTCCGATCATACTGACTCTGGTTGGATCTCATTTAGCGGTGAGCAAAGGCACGTTTTCCGGAGGCTGGGCCTCGTGAACGCCAGTTGGCATAGTGGGGTTGGCGGGCGGGCAGTGGCACCCCCAGGGCGGCAGGGCCCCAAAGGTACAAGCGCTCCCGTGTAGATCGCAGGCTCAATCGGGATTAGCGCGCGATGCCGCCCTGACTGGCAGCAATGGATCGAGGAAAGCCAATTCATCAACATTGAACTCTAAATAGTACTATATTTTGGTCTATCATTATTCGTAATCTATAGTCTATGGTCTATGAAAGCCCCCGAGGCACGTCGTCTATTGCACATCCGCCGGCGTGGGGTACTTGTTCGCAACGTCAGGGTGCGCCTTGGCAAACTCGTCGCTGAAAGGCTGGTCGTTGTACCCCGTCCACTGCTTGTTCAGGTAAAAGGTGTCCCTGTTGTAGGGCGCCAGGGGAATGTCGTGCTTGATCCTGTACACGAGGTCCGGGTTGGAGATAAAGTACCGCCCAAAGGCCACCATGGTATCCCACTGTGCGTAGCGCGTCTCCAGCGCCTGCGCTGCCGTCTCTGGTCGGTACGCGCCCGCGACCATGACGGGCGACTTGTTGTTCCAGTTCTCGAGGATAAAGTCGAGCGTCTTGCCCTTGTTGATGGCCTCGGTGCCGAGAATGAGCTCGCCTGGGTCGCCGCGCGCCTCCACGAGTGAGATGTACGCCAGGTTGACGTCCATCCGCTTCAGCTCGTCGATAATGTACGTGTACAGTGGCTCGACGTCGCCCTTCTCAGAGCCCTGGAAGCCAGCCCAGGGCGAGAAGCGGATGCCCACCTTCTCCGCGCCCACGGCTGCTGTCACGGCACGGACGACTTCGAGCGTCAGCCTCGCGCGGTTCTCAATGGATCCTCCCCACTTGTCTGTCCTCTTGTTCACGCCCTCAGTCAGGAACTGGTCGAGCAGATAGCCGTGCGCCGAGTGGATCTCGACACCGTCACCGCCCGCCGAGACAACCCTCTTGGCCGTGGCTACAAAGTCGTCGATGACCTGCAGGATCTCCTCCTCCGTCATGGCGCGAGGCTCGACGCCAATGTGCTTCATGGGCACGTTGCTGCTGGACCGGTAGTCGTAGCCCCGGCTCTGGACATAGTTGGGGTCGACGGCCCTGCCCATGGCCCAGATCTGTTGAAAGTAGAACGATCCATTGTCGTGCACACCCTTGATGATCTTGCGCCACCCCTCGACCTGCGCGTCGCTGACGAAGCCGGGGCTGTTGTGCTGTCCCTCCTCCGAGTGCGCGATGGCTGTGGCCTCGGAGATGACGAGAGTTCCTGGGACGCTGCCGCGGTCGGCATAGTACTTCTCCATCAATGGAAGGGGGACATGGTCGCCATCGCCATTGCGGTAACGTGTGAGCGGCGCGAGGGCGATGCGATGCTGCAGTTCGCAGTTGCCGACCTTGAGGGGCTTGAAGAGCTTCGATTCGGCTGGTGAGATTTGTGAACCCATGATGTGTGTTTGGTGAGTTGCTCGTTAGAGTTTGTATTGATTAACCTCGTCCTGGCGCGACGGCATTATACCTATTTATACAACGAGCCCAGGCGTAAAAAAAATTAAGCATTCTCCGGATTTTCTCATCAAGGGACCAGGTCATCGTCATCAGCTTCAAAATTCAAACTTGTACCGGAGTTGCGGAGCCGTGATGACGGTGCATGAGTCGCGGAGTTGCGGGCATACCGAGGGGACTGATTTCCAATGCTCAGCAATGGCAAGTGGACCTATGTCATCAGCAGCTTGCAAGGTGCTTGAATCACACAAAGAGAACGCCTTTTTCTTCATCTCTGCTGTAGGGCTGCCATCTTCCATGAGAAACAACCACAGTCACCTTCGGCAGTCCCCTGAACTGATCAACATCGAATCTGACGTCAAACCCTCCGGCCGCCGTCTTCCCGCGTTCTCCACTTTTCCCGAAGCTCCGACCCGGACCTTCGGAGCATGTCAAAGACCGCCTGCCGGCATCGCAAGGACTCGGAAGACAACTGATGCAGAGCGATATTATTGACTAAAAGGCGCTGATCGCCGTTTCCAAAACATCGGCTCTTAGTAAAGGATACTCGCCGTGACAAATCAACCAGCTTACGAATGAAGGCACGTGGGTCAGAACCCAACACCAGACCACCACCACCATCATCATGGCCTTCAATCTCATGATCATCTACCCCAACGGCAGCGAGGCGCACTTTGACATGGAATACTACCTCGGGACACACATGCCGCGCGTGGAGAACATCTGGCGACCACTGGGCCTCGTGCACTGGAAGGTCATCCACTTCAACGCGCCGGGCCGGCAGGGCGAGGACAACGACGACGACAGAGGGGCCCAGGGGTGCTCGTCGTCCAAGTGCAGCAGCAGCATCGGCAACATCCTCACCTTTCAGAGCGAGGCGTGCTACCAGAACGCGATGCAGTGCGCCGCCGCCAAGGACATTTGCAGCAACACGGCGAGGTTCAGCGATCAGCAGCCCATCCTCATCACAGGGGCTACTGTTGCGCTGGGACCGCTTGGGTAGTGGAGGACGCGCCAATTATTCTTGTCTGTTGTCATTTACTGGAAGCCAAGGCGTACAGGGAATTGCAATTCATTTCTATTGCTTACATGCGCGTGCGTGCTTTAAAGCGGCAATCGACATGTTGAATATGCATGTCTTGTACTCGAACAGATGAAGCCCCCCGTTTGGATTGCCGACAAAGCACGACCCCCCCCCCCCTCTCCCCTTTTTGCAACATCTGACATCCTCCACGTCACCATTCATGACAGCCAATTGCTCTGCGCTCGCCTCGCTTCCTGCAGAGGCGATGCGGGGTTGCGCCATCCTGCACCGCCAGTGTCTTGGGTATGCCTGCAGGAAGCGTCAACTTGGGCAGCGTCGGCGTGTCATTGGACCTCTGTCAACGTGCGCAGGCTAGATAGAGGAAGAAGGGGACACGAGGTGCGTCTGTACCGCACCCCAATGTCATGATGGATATCGAGAAGAGTTGTATCATATGCAAATGCTGTATATACCGTCGCCCAGAACCAATTCCCATCTAATGCTCATTTGTATACATTGTACAGCGAGGACGACGCACGTCGTTCGTTCTTTCTAGTCATCGTCCTCGGAGGCCTTGTTGGCGTCCTTGCCTGGCTGGACCCTGTCCTGGTTCGCCTTGGCCTTGTCGAGATCGGGGAACACAATATCAAAGACCTCGGGGTACCACTCTACGGGGTGCCCCTCGATACCCTCCTTGATATTCTAGTCATCGTTGTCAGCAGTGTCTCGATAGAAACATAGTTCATGCACAACGTACCTGTGGCAGCTCCAGCCAATCCGAGAGGTTGTCCCGCGGGAAAATCACCGTGGTGCAACCCGCCCGTCGCGCCGCGACCGTCTTCTCCCGCAACCCACCAATGCGCAACACCTTGCCCGTCAGTGTCAGCTCGCCCGTCATGGCCACGGTAGGGTTCACCGGCGTGTCGATCGCCAGCGAAAGCAGCGACGTCGCCATGGTAATACCCGCCGAGGGCCCATCCTTGGACACGGCCCCGTCGGGCATGTGCATGTGCATCTTGGCCTTGTCGAAGAAGTGGTTGTCGGGGAAGTGCTTGACGGCAAACGACTTGGCAAACGAGTAGGCAATCGTCGTAGACTCCTTCATCACATTCTTAATGTTACCCGTAATCTCCAGACCGGGCCGGCTGTCCGGTCGCAGAGGGGCCTGCAGGATCGACTCGGTGTACATGGCCGCACCGCCGAGCTGTGTCCACGCCAGGCCCATGGCGACACCAGCCGGGCTCACCTCGTACAGGCGATCCGAAGTGAACACGGGGGGTCCAATGTAATCAGTCAGGTTGTCCTTGCCGATGGTGACCTGCACGGAGTCCGGTACGCGCAGGGCCTTGCGAGGCTTCTCTGTCGTCTCGGCCGCAGTCGCCTCTGGCGATGGCTGCTGCTCCTTGGTGGGTTCCTTGGCCTCCTCAGTGGCCTCGGCCTTCTTCTCAGACTCCTCGAGGGCCGACTTGCCCTCCTCCGTCAGCGCCTCCTCCTCGGGGAGCACCTCCTCGCCAAGATCCTTGACGATCTTGAGGGCGGATTTCCTGTAGACCTTCTCAATCTGCTTCTTGAGGTTGCGGACGCCCGACTCGCGGCAGTAGGACTTGATCAGCTCCTGGATCGCCTCCTCCGTCAGGTCTACCTTGGCATTCTGCAGCCCGGCGGCCTCCTTGGCGGCGGGCGCGAGATACTTGTCGGCAATGGCCTTCTTCTCGTCGGCGACGTAGCCGGACAGCTGGATAAGCTCCATGCGGTCCAGAAGTGGTCGCGGGATGGTATCGGTCATGTTGGCTGTGCAGACAAAGAGAACCTTGGACAGGTCCACGGGCACGTCTAGGTAGTGATCCAGGAACGAGCTGTTCTGCTCCGGGTCGAGCAGCTCCAGGAGAGCCGACGATGGGTCGCCCTGGTATCCTTTGCCGATCTTGTCAACCTCATCGATGAGGATGAGAGGGTTCTCGGTCTGGCACTTCTTCAACGCCTGGATGATGCGACCGGGCAGGGCACCGACGTAGGTTCTGCGGTGGCCCTTGATTTCCGCGACATCGGTCAGGCCACCCACGCTGAAGCGGTAGTACTGGCGGTTGAGTGCTCGGGCAATCGACTTGCCAATACTCGTCTTGCCCACACCGGGCGGGCCGACGAAGCACAGGATCTTGCCCTCCACAGTGCCCCTGAGCTTACCGACAGCGATGAACTCGAGAATGCGGTCCTTGACGTCCTGCAGCCCATAGTGATCCTCGTCCAGAACCTTCTGGGCATTGGGGATGCCAAAGTTTTCCGCGCTCCTCTGGCCCCAGGGAATCTGGGTGAGCCAGTCCAGGTAGTTCCTCGTCACGTTGAACTCGGAAGCCGCCGATTCGAGATGCGCCAGCTTGTTCAGCTCCTCGTCAAAGACCTTGCGCACCGCCTCGGGCATCGCCAGCTTGCTCGCCTTCTCCTTGAACTTCTCGACGAGCTTCTCCTTGCCGTCGCTCTCGAGGCCGAGCTCCCTCCGGATGCCCTTCATCTGCTCCATCAGCCAGTACTCGCGTTGGCGCTTGGTGATCTTCTGCTCCACGTCCTTGCTGATCTTGGACTGCAGCTGGGCGTTCATGAGCTCCTTCTTGAGCACGGTGAGGGCCTTTTGCATCCTCTCCTCCACGTTCATGCACGCCAGGACTTCTTGCAGCTCCGTCTGCTCGCCCGACGACACGGCGGCCGCAAAGTCGGCCAGCTTGGCGGGCTCGGACGTGACGTTGCCCGTGGACTGGCTCATGGAAAAGGTCGAGATCTGGTCGCGGAAGAGATTGTTCATGGTCGCCACCTCCTTGAAGACGTTGACAATCTCGTTGGTGACCGCCCGGATGACCTGGCTCTTGGGATCGAAGGGCTCCTCGGTCATGTTCTCCACGTTGACGAGGCTGACAGGGTAGCGCTTGAGGAAGGATGTTGGCTCGTACTTCTCTGCCTGCTGGTCGGGCTTCTTCTCGACGGCGCCCTCCTCGAAGCTGGCCACGACGTCGCCCTTCTTGTCAGTCTGCGCCTGTTGCGGCTCCTCTGGGATAGACTTCTGGGGGATGGGCTCGGGCGGAGTCGGTTCCACCTTGTCGGTCTTCTTGGCATCCTTCCCATCTTCTGCTGTTGGGGCGATCAAGCTGGACAACTTGATTCTTCGGTGAGGGTAGAGAATGGCTGTGAGAGCACCTTCCTGTCCGTGGATGGGAAAGGCGCTCGTGATCTGCGCAAAGACACCTACGTCGTACACGTCGTCGACGTTGCGGATGACATCGTCGTCCTGGTTCTCGTCCTTGAACAGGAACGCGCCGACGTACGGCTGTCCTCGCTTGATGGACTCGGTGATGGCGCTCGCAACCTCGGGGTCCTTGATGGTGATGGCCTTGTAGAACCCCGGGAACAACGGCCTCCGGGCTATCGGAATGGCCAGAACCTGGGGGTACACGTCCGGTACCACAGGCTTGGAGAGGGCTCGTTCCGAGGACTTTTTGCCTTTTTTGCCGCCGTCGCCGGATCCATCGCCCGACCCTGAGCTGCCCGCGGCACCACCAGCAGCGCTTCCCTTGCCGTCCTGCCCTGCACTCTCGCTTTTTGCTGCTGCCGACGAGTCGCCGCCCGTGCTTTTCGCCTCGTTCTTTTCCTCCAAGTCAGCCTTGCGGCGATCCTGATTTAGCTTGGCCTCCTCTTCGGACAATGGTTCGGTCGGTGGCTCGACGGAGGAGTCGAAGAAGCTCTTCTTATCCTTGTCCTTCTTGTCCCGAAGCTGCGCGGCTGCCGAGAACGGGGCAGTCTGTCCCGAGGCTCGGAGCGAGGGCAGCACCCGACTGCAGACATGGGGGCATGTGCACGCAGGGCTGGAGTGCCATGTCCTCGCCGGTAATCGCGATGACGCCCTTGCCGAGCGGACTGCGGTGCTGTGGAGGACGAAGCGTCCAGATGCGCGCGACCTGGGGATCATGGCGCCGTCGGCTGATCGAAGGGGGGGAGTTCGAGGAGTCCGCGACCAGCGAGGGCGCGCACGCGACGGATAGCGACAGCGTGTGACACCGAGGAAAGTAATGTGAGGAAATGAGATACAACCGTCGAGCCGTACAATAGAAATACGGCAGGAGGAGAGAGAGGAGTTTGCGACGGTTGTGAGGGGACTGGATTGAGCTCCCTCGGTCTCGTTGCCGTGGTGTGGAGGCGAATTAGTAAGAAATCGAGACGATGTCGGCGTCAGACGTTGAAGCTGTCGTCCATCCGCTGCCAACGCTAGGCTGGGCTAGGCTGCGGCAGTAACTACGACATCATCCATCTCGAAATTTGGTGACGGCGCCGGGCGGCTGATGTTCGGCATCTGCAGCCAACCACAGGCTGCAGGGCCCGAATTGCTTGGCCATTCCGTCTCGCATCACATCTCGTTGACTTGAACTTGGTAACACCTACTATTAATCTAGACGTTGGAGGTGCATCTTCGAGGACTGTCCGATGGCGCATTGCTGAGGCATCCAAGCCGCAATTGGAAGATCACGTGTAGCCAAAAGAAGTGTAGCAAGAGCGCGCCAATCGTTCCTACCTCTCGGGTGTTAGTGCACGTGCGCTGCATGAGAAGAGCGCAGCGACACGGAGCCGGCAACAGGACACAATCCAGATTCCGGATAGCCCATTTGTGCGTATATGTGTGTTAGTCACAGACTGATTCACTGCGAGAGCACATTTACTCTGCCGAGCCCGGTGTTTTAGCCATCTCGTAGAGCTTCATCGAAGCTATTGCTCCAAGGAAGCGCGGAAATGCGGGGACTGCCGGCCGCCAAATCGTCCTCCACATGGCACACAGACTAGAGATACTCATCGCCAAGATAAACTTTGAGAACCAAGCAATTAAGCCAAGTTCAACTAAAATCAATCTCCTCGCCACAAATTTCATCTCAAAAACACTTCATCACACGTACCAAATTCAGGTCCTTTCGAAACACATTTATCCCTGCTTGAGACCATACTGTAGCCATGACCAGCACAAAGGCAAAGGACGTCGTCGTCGACTCGTGGGATGACGAAGAGATTGCTTCAGAGGATGAGAAGGACACGCAAAGCAACGCACTACAGCCAACAAACACAAACACATCATCATCCTCATCCTTATCCAGGCCCGCTGTGCCCGGTACACCGCCTCCAACGCCCATCACGCCCACCACATTGGACCAGGGTAGTGCTGGCCCCGGGATGAGCTTCGCCAGCCGAAGGGAAGCGCCACCAGAGCGCAGGCCGGAGAAGACGGATGCCGTAGCGCGGCGGATGATTGCGGCCGGCCTCGGACTCAAGGCACCCAAGCAGACGGACGAGCAGAAGGAGTATCAAAAGTCTGTCAGGGAGCAGGAGAAGAGAAGACGGGAGGAGGCACGTCGAGAAGAGGCAAGGAAAAAAGAGGAGGCCGAGAAGGCCAAGGCGGCTATATGGGACGACTGAGCATGTGTGTAGGTATTGCATTATTCATTAATATCTTGGTCTATTCATATTCAAACATGTCGTCTCGGTGCTGGCCCTTCTCCTCAGGGGGGAATGCCATCCTTTACCTCCCATCACTGGCTGTATACCTTCTTGACAGACTCGAGCTCATTGAGGCGCTCGATCCAGTTGTACACGTTGGGATACTTGTTCTTGAGGTCGTATTCCTGGGAGAGCGTCTTCTCGCCCAGGGGGAGGTCAACCAGAACCTTGTTCCAAGGGACGAAGCCAAGGTCGGCATACGTGCTGGCGTCGCATCAGTAACATGTCGTGGCCAGATAGCAGCCAGCGGAACACAGAGAAACTCACAGCTTTTCACCGACAAGCCACTTCTTGCCCTCCAGGATCTTGTTCAACACCTCGAAGATGCGGACCGTCTGCTCAACATAGCGCGCTTTGGCAAACGGCACGTCCTCGGGAGCATAATAGTAGAACCAGGCCGCCTCAAAAAAGTAAGGACCCTGGCCCGACATTTGAAAGTGGAGATACTGCTTCGCATGCCATTTCTCAGCCTTGGTCCGGCCGTCCAGCTTGCCCTCTTGGTCGTAGGTGGACACGAGGTACTCCGCGATGGCGCCAGACTCCCAGATGGTAAAGTCCTCGACATTGGGGTCGACCAGAGTCGGAAGGAGACCGTTGGGGTTGATCTTGAGGTACGACTCCTCCTTTGGGTTCTCAATGAGGATCTGCCGGAACGGGTCAGCGCTGCATTCTTCCATGTCCCCAGTCCACGCGTGGATCGACTCACAGACTCATATGGCAGGCCGAGCTCCTCCAGAAGTATGGCCACCTTTTTGGGATTGGGCCCGTGGGGAAAGACGTAGAGCTTGAATGGCTTGATAGAGGCAGTCATCTTGGTGGTACAGGGAGTAGAAGACGGAGAGTTATGTTAGTTGCGTTGAAGTTGCTGGCTTGGTTGGTACATATGAAGAAAGAGGCTTGGATGATATCCTGTTGCAAAATGTCGAGTACCATGGCTGGCACTTATACGCCTCGAGCATGTTCATTGCGCGGTGCAGTCCCCCGCCGCGCGAGCCGGTCTCCTTGGTGTTTGGTCAGCACAGCATCAAATGCTTTCCGAGTCCGACGAAGCACCAGCGTGCCGTGCGAGCTTAGCAATCTCCATGATCGTGACGAAATGGTTACTCCAACATTCAATAGCATCATGTCAGCCATTGGTCAGCGGGCACCTATCAAGTCCCTTAATGATACTCATCGGCATTTGAATGTCGCTTTTGGCCCCTGCCGCTAGTTCACATTATTGATTGCATTGCAAAGCCTCCAGTCTGCAGGCCAGCTGCGGTGTGAGCGTGCGAGCCAGTCGAGGCCTTTGGCCGCGCATGCACGCATGCAATTGACGGGGTTTACAGATCAACTCGACCCTTTGCATGCTCGCACCAGGCAGCAGCCTATTAGGTCCTAAAAGAGCAGGCCATCATGTAGCGTAGCATCACAGCCATGTTTCTTATCCATTTGTCGTGACCAGAGGCAAAAGCTTGCCTTGCTTCATCAGCGCCAGCTCTGGATCCGCTTTGGATTCGACGTGCCTCGTCGTGACACCGAATCCCTCCAAGCCTTCCTCCTCTGCGCGCCGGTTCCAAATCATTTGCTTCACCTCGCCCTCCGCCTCGCAGAAAAGATAGCCCATAGGCCATCTGCTCCTCCCGAGCGAGTCCCGGACGCCCTTCGTCGCTGGCCTCTGCGCGACCATGAGCCCCAGCACGCCCTGACCGCGCCATCCAGCAGGCGCACCGACAAAGGCCCCCTCCAGTTCGCGGATGAGATTCGGTCCAACGCGCTGCGCGCCGCCCTTGCACTGGATGAGGACACGGAGAGTGGTGGACGTGGAGGGCGGCTTCCACTCTCCCAGCAGGTCGATGCCGTAATCTGACGCGCCGCCGACGCGCCTCAGGTGGAAGCCGTAGCGCTCCAGCGATTTGGCGATGGTGTACTCATAGAGGGTACCCACGTATACGGTGGAGGCTCTGTCGAGTTGCCAGCGTTCGGCATAGGCGAGAAAAGATTCGAGGCTACTGTGGTGCGCACTGGGTGGCTCAGGATATACAAGGGGTGCACTGGGGCCGTTGCTCTCGGTAGAGAAGCATCTTGAGAGATTCGGAGGTGCTCGGTAATGTCTTGGGATACCAATAGTCTTACATGCCAGCCCGACGTACTGTCGAAGCATGGTGCTTCGTTTGTGGTTGAACGTTGTGAACACGGATCAACGAGAATGGGCTGTCGCGGTTTGAGATGAGCTTATGCACATAGCCATGTTATCACAGTAAGCATTTATGCGCGTCCCCAACATCACTCGTTCCCATTCTCATTCATCTTCACAATCAAGACAAAGCAAAATAAGGGGAATAGTCTTTTCTGTCGTTGTAAAGCCCACTCAAACATGCTGGCTACCTAAAAAGCAAATATTTCTCATCACATCGTCCTATCCGTCGGCAAAGACGGCACCGGCGGAATATCTCTCGACCTGCTCCTGCTGGCAAACCGGCGCAGCGTGCTGCGTGATGCTTGTGTATGTGGCTTCACTGCAGACTCCTGCAGGCCTGGGCCGACCTTGCCGGGCTTGCTGCGCACGGGTCGTTCGTCGTCTCCGTCCGACAGCCCTGCACTCAGATGCTCGTCGTCAGACATGACCTCCGTCATGGACATTTGCTGCGACGCAGGCATGGATGGCGATGTGATGGAGCGGTTGTGCAGGGCAGGGCGCGCCGCTGGCACGACAGTGGCGCTAAAGGCGCCCGGGTTCATCGTGTTGGCGTTGGCGTGGGTACGGTCGGCAAAACCATTCTGGAATGCCGTATTGTTGACCGTCGCCTCTCGAAGAATTGGCAAGATGTGCTCATCGTACAACTGCGCACCCGACTCGAACGATTCCGGCGTCAATTCGGTGAGTGTGCGCGACGATTCGCGATCGTCATCGGTAGTCGGGCTCGGGGGCTCGTCAAAGAATTCGTCCAGGCTGTCGAGCTTGGTCACTAAGTCACTGATGGGGCCTTCGTCTCTGCCGCCGTCGGACAGCATGGTGGCTGTTCGAGACTCGTTGCTAGCATCCCAGTAGCTGTACTGGAAATCATCTGTCTCGAACTCCAGGCCGGCAGTGGGCGTTGCCTCAGGCGGAGACCCTTCGGCGCCTTGACACATGTAGAACGCGGCATGGATGTTGGACCGCGTCAGCTCCGTCTTCTTTGCAGGAATAGGTATGGCCCATCCTGATGCCTCCGGGATACCAAAGAGACTCTGGGTCCGCTCGTACTCTTTGCGGACAGCTCGAGAAGTCGATCGTGTCATGCTCATCCGTAGGTGGTGTTTGTCCATGTGGCTTCCGGACATGGTCATAATGTTGTCCAGCACCTTCAATGCGTCCATACAAAACTCCGTCTGCAGCAGCCGGAGCAGCGGCGATATCAGGTCAGACCCGTGGCCAGCAAGTTCAGGGTTGCGCATGTCGATCTCAGGGAGTGTGACACAAAGAATGCGCATGGTCTGCACCTTAACCCAAGACAGCGAGTTGGTCAGCAGACCAACCAACGTTGTGATGAGCTTGAAGTCATGGTCAGGGAGATAGTACTCCCGAATAGACACAAACATCTGTCCCAGGAACTCATCGCTGCTCCGGAAATTGCCAGCCGTATATTCGCCAAGCGTGTTGCCTATCATCTCCAGGCCTTGCCTATCAGCTTCCTCAGCCAGGATGTGCGCTGTGTGAAGCGTGGGCTCGTTGGGAATTCCATTGTCGAGCTCTTCGAGGAAACGCGGGAAATTAGCCAGCACTGAGTAGAAGAGACGGTCATCATCGCCAATCAGTCCATCGCCGGGAAGCTGCACCAACTTGTCCATAATGTCGAGCGTGGGCTGCCAGCACAGCGACGACCTTAGACCTTTGTGCAACAACGGTTGCAATCCTTCGTACAACCCGTTCCACTTGGCTGGCTGGCCATCTGCCAGGATGCGTCGCACATTAGGCGAGCGAAAATCGACCTTGACCAACCACACATTGAGCATCTCAGCGGCTTCGAGGAACTCGCGCTCGTTGATTGAGTCCAAGCACGCACACGTCGTCCAGAAAAGCTGCGGGAAGTTGATCAGCCGCTCAGGCTCAAGCTTGACGATGAGCGTCTTGAGTGTGGTGAGAATCTCCATTGCGAAGAATTGTATCTCAGGATCTTCATCTGCGATCGTGTTCGACAGCCTGGCCAGCATATCCGCCAGCATTTTTTGGTCAAGCGAAGTCAGCACACACCGGAACACCTGGAACGACCGGCATGCGAGGTGCCTCACAGGACACGATGTTGCCCAGGTCAGTGACAGTTTGCTCCATTGCTCCTTGACTCTCGGATATGTGAGTTCAAAAGTTTTCGCAAGCTCGGTGGTCAAGTACTCCATGCCCGGTGGGACCTTGTTGTCGTGATCATCAACCTTGCCGTTACTGTCTTCGTAACCCCAGACAACCGTACGATCGTGGCGTCTGACACGATCAATCAAGTCCTGGATAGTCTCTTTCTGAGCAGGTGGTGTCCGATCATCCATTGCTGAAATGACGAGTTCGTGGATCAAGTGTACCACCATTTCCCGGGCCTGCTCTTGCACCATGGGCATGTAGTGATCCCACAGCACGGTGACAACGTGCAGCAGTAGCGGCACGTTTTCCTCTGGAAGCTGCAATGGCGCCACCATCAAATCGACAAGTAGAATCATGGACAGCTGCCCCAGTGAAAACCCAGCTTGTTTGGTGCCGACCGGCAGCACCTCCGTAAGATCCGCGCAGTACGGCAAGAGAGACACGTCGCTTGGTGGAGGAACAGCCTCTCTTTTCTCGTTAGGAACCATGCTCCTGGGGTCAATGTGCATAAGTAGAAACTCGATGACCTTAACTCCAGGGGGGCTATTTGTCGTCGACAGGAACACCACGATCTGCTTCGCATACTCGACAAAGTTCTGCTCGCGTCGATCTAAGCACAAAGAGATGACAAAGTCCATCACCAGACGAACGTTGCCGGGGAATGGGCCTGTAGCCACCGCTTGCCACAAGGCCTGTACCTCGTTGTGCAAGGCGCCACTGGACTTGATGGTGAGTTCAATGAGGTTCGCCAGAAAGACGTACGACTCGGCGGCAGGGCCTCCATTGGGGTCCACCTTGAGCTCGACACTCTGTATCCACGGTAGCATGACCGCCACAATGTTTCTCTGTGAGGCTGGCTGCAAGTCCTTGAAGTAGAGTGTGAACTCCGCAAACACGTAGAACGCAAGCTCGGTGTACTGCGTCGCTAACCTCTGGGAAATCTCAAATTGCGCGAGCTTGTACACGGCCTGCGTCTTGTCCGAGATGCTGATGTCAAAGTCCTGAATCCTGGAGTTTCTCTGCTGTTTAGCCTCGAGAGCCCTCAGCACCGATGATGATTTGGACCGGACATCGCTCAGGTCGTTCCCCAAGGTGTACAGAAAAAGGCCAAGGAGTTTCCAAAAGGGGCACGGGTAGCTGGGACAGTTCTCGAGGACCAATGTGGTCACAATAAAGTAGCTCTCGAGAACCTTGGGTACACTGGCAAGGTAGCATCGCGCGATGCAATGCTCCAGAAGATAAGGGTATTCTTGGTTATGCACGATGAGGTTCTCGAGTGCTTTCCGACCGATGACGTTCATTCGGTCGCTGCCAGAATTGAAGATGGCCTCTACCCAGGCGAGCATACGCCGCACATCGAATTGCAGGGTGACACCGCTCTCGGTCGTGACGCCAATCGGTCCTCCACACAGCACAGCCATGGCGCTCAGGGCTGCCGTGCGTAGGTCTCGCTTCTCCTTTTCCATGGCAGCTGTGACCATGCCTCGCTCGGCCGTTGACTGCTGCTCAATGACAGATTGCCGCATGGTATCCTCACGGACTCTGATTTGCGTATGGTTGGGCGAAAAGCCGCACCAATCTTCCATCAAAGAGAAAGCGGATTTGCGTGATTCAAAGGTCATCCATCGCGAGGGATCCTTGGTGCGGTTGATTGCCTCAAAGAGCACCTCCATGAGGCCGCAGTAATGTCGTCGCAGTTTCTGGAATTCCCAATCCATTTGCACATCTCCATCCATCAAGAAGAGCTTCAGATCTTTGGCATAAGCAGTCAGGGTTCCCAAGAAGAAATCCGTGTTGTAGAATTCGGGCTCCTTCAAGAAATGAGAGGTGACCTTGAACACATGAGTGATTTCTGTCCGCAGGAGATCCATCTTGCGATTGCGCGGGGGCGTGCTGTTGGAACGCTGGTGAATCCGTGCCCTGGCATCATCGTTCAGTCGTGTGACCTGGGCCTGTAGCTCCTCCAAGAGTGTTCTGTAGATGTGTCTATTGATAGATCCTATCGCAACAACAATGGCTTCTCGGATCGACGCCGATGATGCCGAGAGGAGTGGAAACAGGTACTTGAATAACGTCCGAGCTGTAACAATCTTGTCGCCGCTTGACTTTGAATCTTTGCGAGCATGTTGGTCTTTGCCAAAGGTGGTGTTGCTGCCAGTCTCGGCCAGCGTAGCGCAGGCGAAAATGAGGTACAGCTTCCACTGTTCAATGAGAACTTCGGGGTGCGCAGTGGGTGACCGAGCGGGTGTCCGCGCGCTTCCGGCTTCACTGCCGTAGTAGTATCCACGGGATGGCTCAGACAAGTGCACAATGGTCTTGTACATCTGGAGAGTCCGGTCGCACACAAGGTCCCGACATATAGCCACAGTAAAAGGGCATTTCTCGTAAGCTAAACGGACAAGGTTGGGGAAGATCTTGAACCATAGCGTTGTGTCGTAAGACACATCACTGATACAAAGCTCCACAACAGCACCCTTGCTTCCTGTGCTGTTGGTGCCGGCATTCTTAAGTCCACGGTGCAGACGACTTCGCTCAGCCACCGACAGATGGTCTTCGTTGAAACTCATGACTTCATCTGCGTCGTTCTCGAGGATGTTGATGAGTCTGCCAGAGTCCTCGCCAGAGGATTCCTTTCCCAAGGCTTTATCGAATTCAGAAATGAGTCGCAAGACAGTGATCGCATAGTAGCGCACACGCCTTGATTGGGAACACAAAAAGAACAGGCCGTGTGCTTCAGCCTGGTCCACCTCAGCCCAGATGCTGGACAGATCCAACTTGAGTGCACGTTTGTCCGGAGTGCCCACGCCAGGGATCTCGGCTGCGGCATCCTTCATCTTCTGTCGGATTTCGTCAATCCAGATTTGCAACAGCTCAACATACAAACGCAGGGTGTTTTCGATATGACCCGGCCCCAGCATGCCGCCGTCGGACATTGTTGAGTATCGATCGTCAAAATTGAAAATGAACCTTGAGAACCCCATGATGACACCTTGCGCGTGGGCGTGGCGTGCTATGGCTTTCAGGGAGTTTGCGGACGATTCTGCAATGTTGGATTGGATGTGCGCAGTGCCAGTGCATAGCAAATTGATCAAGGGGTTGAATGGTATATCCTCTGAGAAACACCGAGGCAAGGCTTGCACGGCGACATGGAGAAGCTCGTAGAAAGCTTGTTTCTGATCCGGGGTGTTCTGCTGATCTTCACGGCGCGTGAAGTTGAATGTGTCGGTGATGGGCGTTTTGGGCCCCGGGCTACCGAATTTCTCGTCCAACGTTGCTTGGCCTCCGAACGTATTGTCACATATCCTCGTGATCTTGCCCAGGATATCGCAAAATTTGAGATAGTAGTCTCTGACGCTGTCAGAAAGAACATGAGTGAGTACAGGCCTCGAAATGGTATCTTCCTTCGAGCCAACCGGAGCACCATGTGGCGATCGGACGTCAGCGGGACTGCTGTTGTAGAGTTGTGGAAATGGCGGTCGGCCCTGCTCCCCCTTTTCAAGGTCTGACATGATACACAAGAACGCCCGGATTCCGACCACTATACGGTCTGGGTCAAGTTGCTCTACTTTCAGGTCTTTGGTATTCGCAAAAAGGTCGGCGTTGATCAAAGGGAAGATAATCTGACGAAAGCAGTACTCCGGGTATCGGAAACCCACGGTTCGTATGATCTGGATGAGAGGTTCGGTGACGGCAGCGTCAGATGCGACAATGCTCCGTCTGGATGTTGGCAGCACCAGCTTCAAGATCTCGTCCAGTTTCCGGATAGCGCCCTGTGGAGTGTCGTTGATGCGATAGATGTACGTCCACAACAAACGGGAAATGACCTGGAGGCAAAGGGGCTTGGTAGATCGATCTCTGACTTTTGTCTGAACCGTCATCACAAGTTGAACCCATTGAACCCCGAAACTCTCTGGCGGTGATACACAGAGCATGGTAGCTGTCAAAGGAAACGCCACACTCCAGTGGCGTGGCTTTGTAAACATCTGGCCAACTCGAGAAGAGATGGAAGAAACAACCTCTGCCCACTTGGGGTGCATCAAATGACTATTGCTAGCAGACGCAGCGATTGGCAGGACGAGTGTGTCAACAATCTGGCAAAAGGCCCACTTAACCCTTTGGCCATGAGATTTGCTGAACAGTCGGCCTAGTCGAACAAGAAAATCGCAAGAGTGTTCCCAGGCGTCTTCTGGCAGGATCCGGATGCGCAGGTGCCTCATACCCCCAAGCACGACTTCCAGCTTGCCCTCTTGATCACGTCCGCTTGCCGTGGTAGGGCTTCGGAGCCCACGTTCCTGCAGAGCTGAATCGAGTTCCTCGAGGAATCGTTGCGTCACCGACACAAAGTTGAGTTCGCTCATGTAACCGAGCAGCTGGGCGAAAAGGTTCCAGTTGGCCAGCTTGAGTGGCGAAACAAGCAACTGATCAGGGTCTGCGTTCTTCAGCTGCGCGAAGATGATGTCCTCCAGCTTATCTTCCATTTCAGGGGTAATGGCTCGCAGGTTGCTTTGGCGGACCACCTCGATCAGGACGCGGCAAAGGATGTATATGGAGACCGTTGACCGTCGTTCAGCCTGTGCGACGAATTCTTGTTTCGCGGATACTGAAAGACTGTGTGGGAGTGCGTTTTCCCCGACGCCAACGCCAGGCTGGCCTGGTTGCACCGGTTCCGTATTCCGGCGCAACAGAGGCGCTGCCTGTGTCGCGCTACGCGGCTGCCCCTGGTTTCGAGCTTCTAATGCTGCATCGCTCTTGTTTTTCCTCCACAGCATCATCGAGTCAATAAGAGCTTTTGGCTTGGGGCTAGCGATGTGGCCCAAAGCCTTGATCAGCTGGTCGAAGGCTGGATCGACTCCCGGACCGCAAATATTCTCCACGTTTGGCTCTGGCTCGTTCGCTGGTGTGATACACTCGGTAAGTTTCTCTTCCGCCTGTGCGATGAATGAGGTGAACAAGACATGTAAGGCATATTCGCCCACCGTCTTCTGCTCCTCTCGATGGAGTTTGGAGTGAGATTGGCTAAGCAAAGGGTTTCGACGAGGTTTACTATGTCTTCGCTCAGGCCTCCTTTGCGTCGCGCCGTTCAGTGCCAGATCACCCGCCGAGGCAGCCCTCTCAAGAGGGAACCCGCTGGGCGGGACCATTGAAGAGCCTGGATGCATGGTGTCGAAGCTTCCTCCCGCAGCGGCTATGACTTTGGGGCTGAGAGGACTCGAGGTCGAGCTTGCAAGGCTTCCATTTCTCGAATGCTGAATGCCATGCACGATCGAGGTCTGTCGGTGATGACCGTAGACGGCGCTTTTCGGGTCAACGACGCGCTCTCGCGAATGCGAGGCCGTGACGCGCGGTGAAGCTAAGCTCGCATTTTTCTCCGCGGAAGATTCTCGAGAGTGTGTTGGTCGTCGGATCGAATACGGGGAAGGTTCGAGAGGTGGCGGGGGTCGCACAGTATGTTGCCATGCACTGTCGTCGGCATGCTCATCTTCTTCATCGAGTGTTGATACAGCTCGCACGGCATACTTTGACGGATCCTGAAGGTGGTCCGGCAACGATTGCGGCGGTACTATGTCACAGAGGTCAGAGGATCAGTACCATGGAGTTGTGAAGTTTGAACACGGCAACGTGTAGGAGAGGGGCGCACTCTGGGGAGGGGAAACACGCACCCATCTCAGATCGCTCCGGTCAAACTTCTCATGTTCTGTTCTCGAAGCGCGATGGCTTTCGCGGTAGGCGTAACGAGCCGCCCAGCAGTCCTTGGCGGCAACTCGAGGGCGAGTAGGAGCGGGACTTGAGGTCGTGCAAACGGGTAGACGAAGAGAGTGAGGGGGGGTGCGCGCAAGTTGCTGGCTATGACAGCGTCGAAGTCAATGGGGAATTCGTACTCATTTCAGCTAAGAGGCATGATGAAGTCGCTCAGCGCAGGTCAAGACATGGAGCAACGCCAATTGTCCCAGAGCACGAGGTCGAGGCGAGGATGACGCTGTTGATAGCCGCAGGGGTCGTTGAACATAAATTTGGGCTTGCTATTCCCACGCGGAAATGCAAGGGCCACAGCCAGTCAGAGGCTCTGAGCGCGTGTCTGAGCGCGCTATTATAGCGGGGTTCAGTGGTTGTGGGGTCTGGAGATGGAGCCCACCGCGACTTTGCCAGATGGGAGTTCATCTGTTCAGTCTGTTGTGATTACAAGTACTTAGGTGAAGGGCGTATTGGTCAAGCTTCGGTGAGTATTTTTTTTTTTTTTATCTCGAGAGCCTCGCTGGAAGAGGCTTATCTGCTTAATCGGCAGAGCTTCTTCTGAGAATGACTGATCTGTACTTGGAAAGCGGCAAGCATTTGATCGAGGGGCACCTCACCTACCCTCGGGCGCCTCCTCGCGACTAATACAGCAATGTAAATATGAGGCGCGGAAATACGCCCATAGTCTATAAAGATGTACCTAGTGCTTCATGGTCAGTCTGCTCAAGGGTTTGTAGAGAAACAGAGAACGCCAGGGAGGTTTTGGCCACGGCTTTGATTCAATGTTGAATGTCTGCTTGGCCAAACTAACACTTGATCATTTCATGAGCACGCGGATACAAAAGCTCTCAGCAGCAACTTGGGGGCATAATGATGAACAACTATTCAAGGCATATTCTCTGGATCAGTACATAACATGATCGGTTGTCATCACTGGGGATTGAGAAGTTCACATTGTCTCACTACAGGTTAGGCGGCGCACTGGGCGTGGACTAAGAACGGGATGCAGTTCGCGACGGACGGAAATTCGACAAGACCGCCGGTAGCTCGGAATATTTCCACATCAGGCGCATTTCTTGACCAGGAACACTCCGACGTGAGCCGCACAGCAAAGTGTCCGACATTGCAAACACCTATCCTAGTGGTTCTATCGTGTTCGTATCTAACAGTCACATGCTCCCCAACAGGCTAGCTCATGAGGCGCATAGGTTGCCGAAAACCCACCATCGCAATACATGTATCCTTTCGGCATCCGGGTCTCCTGGATGTTAAATGGGCTGACAGTCGTCGTTTTCCGGCGTCCTGACCCACCCTTGCCAGTTAAAGCCAAGGGAATGTTTAAGCGATCTCTAAAAATTGGTAGTGACGCATGACCGGCTGTCGATGATGATGAGATTCAAGTGGTTGTGCGACACCAACTTGTGATAGATAAAATCCAGAAAACGGTTGCGCGCCACGAACATACACTGACCAAACCGAAGAAGTCGTCTAAGGATTACCTTACCTTAGTTGTACGTAGATAAAGCACGAAGGATGGTCTTACGGTATTACGGTACAACGACCTCTCCGCCGGCTCACGCAGTGAAGGACCCCTCGCAGTACGGATAGGTACAAGTACCTGCTAGACCCCGAGGTACTGGACCCACAACTAGGCTCGACAGCGCATCTCGGGACTGGAGTCCACACTTGTTGGCCTTTAACTCCTGTGCCCCCCTCCTGAATCCTGCCACGAATCCCGCGCAACAAATATCAGCGCTTGTCGTTGCCTGTGCTGCTCTTCGAAAGCCTCGCAGCCTGAGGGGACAAGACTGTCGACGGCTCACGGATTCGCACGCGCACCTCGCGAGACCGAGATCCTACCTTCTGCCCCTCCGTTTCGAAACATCCCGACGAGAGCGACTCGCATAGGTACCCCTCGACGATAAGGACAACATGGCAGAGTTAGACACCTTGGACATTATTGTCCTGGGAGCGATCCTGCTCGGGACACTCGCCTACTTCACAAAGGGCACCTACTGGGGTGTCACCAAGGATCCCTACGCCAATGCGTTCGCCAATGCGAATGGTGCCAAGGCTGGCAAGTCGAGGAACATTGTCGAGAAGATGGAAGAGTCCGGCAAGAACTGTGTCATCTTCTACGGCTCCCAGACCGGTACTGCCGAGGACTACGCCTCTCGACTGGCCAAGGAGGGCAAGAGCCGCTTCGGTCTGGAGACCATGGTTGCCGATCTTGAGGAGTACGATTTTGAGAACCTCGACACTTTCCCCAGCGACAAGGTGGCCATGTTCATCCTAGCCACCTATGGCGAGGGCGAGCCGACTGATAACGCTGTGGATTTCTACGAGTTTGTCACTGGAGAGGACGCTGCGTTCTCTGAGAGCAACGACCCTGCGCTCGGCAACCTCAACTACGTTACTTTCGGCCTCGGTAACAACACCTACGAACATTACAACTCCATGGTCCGCAACGTTGACAAGGCTTTCACCAAGTTTGGCGCCCACCGTATCGGTGAAGCCGGCGAGGGTGACGATGGTGCTGGAACTATGGAGGAGGACTTTCTGGCCTGGAAGGAACCCATGTGGTCTGCGCTGGCAGACAAGATGGGTCTCCAAGAGCGCGAGGCCGTCTACGAGCCCGTCTTTGGCATCGTCGACCGTGAAAACCTCAGCGTCGAATCCCCCGAGGTCTACCTTGGCGAGCCCAACAAGATGCACCTCGAGGGCACCGCCAAGGGCCCATTCAACGCTCACAACCCGTACATTGCCCCGATTGTCGAATCTCGCGAACTTTTCTCGGTCAAGGATAGGAACTGCCTACATGTCGACGTCGACATTAGCGGCTCCAAACTGTCTTACCAGACTGGTGATCACATTGCTATCTGGCCTACGAATGCCGGCGACGAAGTCGACAGGTTCCTCGACATCCTTGGCTTGAAGGAGAAGCGTCACAACGTCATCAGCGTCAAGGCCCTCGAGCCCACCGCCAAGGTTCCCTTCCCTACTCCAACAACCTACGACGCCATTGTCCGATACCACATGGAGATCTGTGCGCCCGTTTCTCGTCAATTTGTTTCTACCTTGGCTGCGTTCGCCCCCAATGAAGAAGCCAAGGCTGAGATGGTCAAGCTCGGAAGTGACAAGGATTACTTCCACGAAAAGACGATTCCGCACCTGTTCAATATCGCGGGTCTGCTCGCCAAAGTCAGCAGCGGGGAAAAGTGGACAAATATCCCCTTCTCCGCTGTTATCGAAGGCCTCAACAAGCTCCAGCCCCGTTACTACTCTATTTCCTCTTCCTCCCTCGTGCAGCCCAAGAAGATCTCCATCACGGCAGTCGTCGAGAACCAGATGGTGCCTGGCCGCGAGGAACCATTCCGTGGTGTTGCCACCAACTACCTACTCGCGCTCAAGCAGAAGCAGAACGGCGACCCGAACCCCGAAGCCTTCGGCAAGACATACGAGCTGCTCGGCCCCCGCAACAAGTATGACGGTATTCACGTCCCCGTCCACGTCCGCCATTCCAACTTCAAGCTGCCTTCTGATCCCTCGAAGCCCGTCATCATGATCGGTCCGGGCACTGGTGTGGCTCCTTTCCGTGGGTTTGTGCAAGAGCGTGCCAAGCAGGCCCAGAACGGCGCTCCCGTCGGGAAGACGCTCTTATTCTTTGGGTGCCGTAAGCCAGAGGAGGACTTTATGTACGAGAACGAGTGGAAGGAGTACAAGGAGGCTCTTGGCGACAAGTTCGAGCTCGTGACTGCCTTCTCGCGGCAGACCTCGAAGAAAGTCTATGTTCAGCATCGCCTGCAGGAGTATAGCAAGGAAGTCAACGAGCTCCTTTCGCAAAAGGGCTTCTTCTATGTCTGTGGAGATGCGGCCAACATGGCTCGCGAAGTCAACGCAGTCTTGGCCAAAATTATTGCGACCGAGCGTGGCGTGACAGAGGCCAAGGGCGAGGACATTGTCAAGAGCATGAGGTCTTCCAACCAGTATCAGGTAAGTTTGCTTGTCTCTTGTGCCTTGACTTTGACGCTAATGAGTCGCAGGAGGATGTTTGGTCATGAGACACGTGCGGGCATCTTGTTTGGATCTTCATGGCGATTGCATGGTGGCAGGTTGAGCTTCTCTAGCCATTCGGTGTTCAGGGACTGGTTCGAAGCTAGACCAAGACGTATAAAGGGACCGATTTTGGAGATAAAACGTCGAAAGAATACTATGGGGGGCCAAGGGCGATGGGGAACATGTAATGTTGATAGCCATGTTCGCCGGATTTTGATGAATAGACTTTCATTGTAAGTACCCGCGAGCTCCATAGGTATGGCTGGCGCTTCCCCCTGTACCACTACTGATCAGCGAGGCTTCACATACGTAGACTCGAGCCTGGTTCGTCATGTTTGCCTCTTCTTGGGAAATGCAGGCGCAGCGTGACAAACAGCGCGGCACTCGGCCCAGAACAGACACCCGGTCGTCTGCGCGTCGCCTCCCGCTAATAAATGAATTATAGACGGAAAATCACATCCAAATTGTGATTGTGAAGGCCTTCTTGACGAAGCTACATGCGGGCCATCGCGACGGCTGTCCATGTTGGACATCGCATAGCCTAAGCTTACCTCGCACGCGGATGCTGCAAAGCTTAGCTCTCAACATATTGCGACATGCCCAGCCTGTCCTTATCTCCACGGTTGAGTTCAAGAAGAGAGACAAGGTTCGTCTTTGAAGCTTGGTCGAAACTGATCGTCAATTGCTGAATTGGGTACAGTGGTGACTTTGAACAACTTTCGTCAATTGAGCCAACCCATGATTACTGTCACTTCACCAGTCACCACAACCGGATAGATTTACTGTGCGTCTTGCTTTCTCTGGCAATTTGGTAATACACAAACCAAACGAGTTACCAGATACGCGCGGACAAGATCAGTCATTGCTTTTTCTGCAACTGGGGTTTGCCCTGCAGGAGTCGAGGCGGCCAGCCGCAAGGGATGCATCGCGTTCAAGGCGTGCATCGAATCGTTCGTCAAAAGCTAACAGGCTGATGGCAGACTGCACTGGATCAAGCAACGAATCCTGTAGATATCAAAATTGCTGGCAGCTCTCGGCCCTCTGATGCCTCTTGTCCAAGTACTCATCAACGCATCTAGCCAGCATCACCTCTGACGACCACCAAGTAGTACCTTTGGCTCTCAAGGAGTCAAGAGTCATTACTGTCCTGCCGGAGCCTGCGGAGCCAACACTACTAGTCTTCCAGAAGCAAC